CAGCAGGCATATCAAACCACTTGCAAGGCCCAAAGGGACGGCCATGGAGAGATTGATTCACTATATGGTGGATGGTGGATGATGGATGGTGGAGGGGTTGTTCAAGCGAGTGCAAGGGAACGGGATACCAGCACTTCATCTCCTACCCCCCGAATTCTCCCCCCCCCGCCCCCCCTCCCCCCCCATTCTCCCCCCGACCTCCCCCGTCCCCTCCCCTTCCGCACCTCCTCCAGGCACAAGTGCAGCAGGCATACTTGCAACTCAAACCGCTCGCACGGCCCAAGGGGACGGCCATGGAGAGATTGATTCACTATATGGTGGAGGGGAGGGAGGGAGGGATGGGGCTGTTTAAGAGAGTGCAAGGAACGGGATACCAGCACTTTAGCACACCCAACTTCCCCTCCTCTTCCCCTCCCCTCCAGGCACAACTGCAGCAGGCATACTTGCAACTCAAACCTCTTGCACGGCCCAAGGGGACGGCGATGGAGAGATTGATTCACTATATGGTCGAGGGGAGGGAGGAATGGGAGGGGCTGCTCAAGCGTGTGCAAGGAACGGGTTACCAGCACTTCATATCTCCCCCCTCCCCCCATTCTCCCCCCGCCCCCCACCTTCCCCTCCCTCCTCCCCTCCCCTCCAGGCACTACTGCAGCAGGCATACTTGCAACTCAAACCTCTTGCACGGCCCAAGGGGACGGCGATGGAGAGATTGATTCACTATATGGTCGAGGGGAGGGAGGAATGGGAGGGGCTGCTCAAGCGTGTGCAAGGAACGGGTTATCAGCACTTCATATCTCCCCCCTCCCCCCATTCTCCCCCCCGCCCCCCACCTTCCCCTCCCTCCTCCCCTCCCCTCCAGGCACTACTGCAGCAGGCATACTTGCAACTCAAACCTCTTGCACGGCCCAAGGGGACGGCTATGGAGAGATTGATTCGCTATATGGTGGAGGGGTTGTTTACGAGATTGCAAGGGACCAGGATAGTAGTACATGAGCACGCGCACCCTCTCCTCCTCTTCCCCTCCCCTCCAGGCACAAGTGCAGCAGGCATACTTGCAGCTGAAGCCTCTCGCGCGGCCCAAGGGGATGGCGATGGAGAGATTGATTCACTATATGGTGGAGGGGCTCTTCAAGAGACTGCAAGGGAACGGGTACCAGCACTTCAACACTCCCGTTCGGAAAACTCCCAAGGTATGTGACTGTATGGAGGTTATACTTACCATTACTGAGTGTGATTGTAGTAGAGATTGATTCACTATATGGTGGAGGGGTTGTTTAAGAGACTGCAAGGGAACGGGTACCAGCACTTCAGCACTCCCGTTCGGAAAACTCCCAAGGTATGTGTTTTCGTAATTATGTTGAGGTTATGCTAAAAATGGGTGTGTTTATAACGAGTGATATACCACATAGTAGTGGATGGGTTGTTACGAGAGCTCAAGAGACGGATTACTCTTCCTTCCTTTGGCAATATGGCTCAAGAACCGAGGTACACTTCAAGAGAGGAACATGGGGATGTTCCTCTCTTGTACCTCCCCTTCCCTTTCTCCCTTCTTACCCTCCCCTTCCCTTTCTCCCTTCTTACCCTCCCCTTCCCTTTCTCCCTTCTTACCCTCCCCTTCCCTTTCTCCCTTCTTACCCTCCCCTTCCCTTTCTCCCTTCTTACCCTCCCCTTCCCTTTCTCCCTTCTTACCCTCCCCTTCCCTTTCTCCCTTCTTACCCTCCCCTTCCCAATAACGGACATGTTCTCTACGCCGTCTCCTCCGCCTCCCACGTCCACCTCATCGACTTCGAAGAACTCCTCCCCTTCCACGTGCTCTTTCTCCCTCTCCTCCGCTCTCCATCCCTCTCCACCCCTTTCCACCGCTTGCCACCCATCTTCACCTCTCTCCACGCCTCTCCACCCCTCCCTTTTCAGGAGCTGGATGAAGCACGTGCCTGGTTCGCTACAAGCACGCCGTACCCCGCCTTTGGCAACATGGCAATAACGGGGATGTTTCTGCACGCCGTCTCCTCCGCCTCCCACGTCCACCTCATCGACTTTGGAGAACTCCTTCCCTTCCACCTGCCCACCATCATGGAACTTTTTGCTGCCCGCCCGGGCGGCCCGCCGCACCTCCGTGTCACGGGGCTGGACACAACGACTTTCGTCTGCCCGGGGCGGAAGGATTTTAAGAGCCTGCGGGCAGTGGCGGAGGTGGGGAGGAGGTTGAGGGGGATGGCGATGCGGCTGGGCGTGCCTTTCGAGTTTGAGTATATCGATATTGACGAGAACCAACTGCACCTTCTGTACCAGGTGGGTTGAATCATCCCTGGTGTGCCTCAACTTCTATGTAGCAGAGGGGGGGAGCCATGCGGCTGGGCGTGCCTTTTGAGTTTGAGTACATCGATATTGACGAGAATCAGCTGCACCTTCTGTACCAGGTGCGTGGGGGTGTGGATCACCTCTGCTATGTCCAGTGAGCGTGTCTGGCCCTGCTCTATCCGGTATGTGTTTCAGTTCCCTATTCGGGTCGGATCAAGACGGAAGGAGGGGGAGTGAGACGCTGGCGGTGTGCGCACATCTCAAGCTCATGAGCTTCCTCTCCTTCCCCTCTTTCACTGCTTATCTCCTCTCCCCATTTCTCTGCAGGTGAAGAGGAGGTGGAGTGAGACGCTGGTGGTGTGCGCACATCTCGAGCTCATGAATTTTCCAGACGATTCTGTTGTGGACCATGGGCCCAGAGACTGCATTCTCAGGGTGAGTAGCCCATATTAGTCAACGCATAATGGGTAACTAGTCTTGGAAACAGAGGCAGTGCATCTCGAGCTCATGAACTTTCCAGACGATTCTGTTGTGGACCACGGGCCCAGAGACTGCATTCTCAGGGTGAGTAGCCCGTGTTAATCAGCTGTTAATGGGTAACTAGTTTTGGAACAGAGGCAGTGCATCTCGTGCTCAAGAACTTACCAAACGATTCTGTCATGGACCGAGGCCCCAGAGACTGCATTCTATCAGAGCGAGTAGCCTGAGTGCAGTCTTACAAGATGATATAAGATGATATAAGATGATATAAGATGATATAAGATGATATAAGATTATATAAGATGATATAAGATGATATAAGATGATATAAGATGACAAACCATCCAGGCAATGCTTCTGTGAACCGTGAGGTGAGCTTATGTTTCGGATCCTCCCCTTATATCTCATCTCCTTCTTACCTTAAAGCCATTGCATCCCCTACCCCCATTCACCCCCCAGTGGATCCACGACTTAAAGCCCCGCCTTGAGGTGTTGTGTTGGTTCTATGGAGTGGCTCCTTCTCTCAACTCCCCTCCCCCCCCCCCCCCCCCTCCCCCTCTCTTCCCTGTCCCCTCCTCCCCCTCACTAACCCTCAGTGGATCTACGACTTAAAGCCCGCCCGCGCTCTTCACGTTCGGTGAATTGGATCTCAATATGAACCTTTGGCCTTCCCTACTCCCCATCTCCTTCCTCTTTCCTTCTCCTACTCCCCATCTCCTTCCTCTTTCCTTCTCCTACTCCCCATCTCCTTCCTCTTTCCTTCTCCTACTCCCATCTCCTTCCTCTTTCCTTCTCCTACTCCCATCTCCTTCCTCCCCCCATGGATCTACGGACCACGACTCAAAAGCCCGCGCTCTTCACGTTTGTAGAGATGGATCTAGACTCCAACGCCCGCCCCTTCCTCTCCCGCTTCCAACACGTTCTCGACCACCCCCTCTCCGTCTTCTGCTCCCACGACGCACTGATTGGCGCCGCTGTCTGTTTCCCTGCCTTGAGGTGTTGTGTTGTGTTGGCCCCTTCTCTCACCCCCCTTCCTCTCTTCCCTGTCCCCTCCTCCCTCTCGATACCTCTCAGTGGATCCACGACTTAAAGCCCGCTCTCTTCACGTTTGTAGAGATGGATCTCGACTCCAACGCCCGCCCCTTCCTCTCCCGCTTCCAACACATTCTCGACCACCCCCTCTCCGTCTTCTGCTCCCACGACGCACTGATTGGCGCCGCTGTCTGTTTCCCTGCCTTGAGGTGTTGTGTTGTGTTGGCCCCTTCTCTCACCCCCCTTCCTCTCTTCCCTGTCCCCTCCTCCCTCTCGATACCTCTCAGTGGATCCACGACTTAAAGCCCGCGCTCTTCACGTTTGTAGAGATGGATCTAGACTCCAACGCCCGCCCCTTCCTCTCCCGCTTCCAACACATTCTCGACCATCATCTCTCCGTCTTCTGCTCGCACGACGCTCTTATCGGCGCCGCCGACAAACGCCTGCTCTCCATTTTCGAGGAGCTTTATTTCGGCCGGACGATTGTGAATATTGTGTCGTGTGAAGGGGTGGAACGGGTTCACCGGCCGGAGACGCTTGACCAATGGCGGGGGAGGATGCTCAGGCTAGGGTTTGCGCCGAAGCAGATCCCCGGAGCTGTTACCGAGGCTATGCATAGTATGCTGAAGAGGTTTCCTCTTGGATTTGGGTTATTGCTAGAGGATGGGGCTATTAGGCTGGCGTGGAAAGGAACCACGACCATCCTTGCTCTTGGCTGGGTGTTGAATGCGCCACCCTAAATAGCCAATATTGTTCTTAATAGAAAAGTAAAGAAAGGTTCGCATGGGTTAAGTGGCATGCAAAAAGGAGCAATAGGTCCTGCTTGTACTACACCCAAAATGTTTTTAAAGGCCGCTTTAGGATTTATTGTTTCGCTCAAAACCTACTAAACCGCTCTGGAATGCAAAATAGCCATTCTGCGGTACGAAACCCACGACCGAACCGCAATTAGGTCTTGCGGCAAGTTAGTACTTGAAGAAGCCGAAGCAGCAGTCTTCCCGTGTCGCCTGAATTGGCGACTTAGCATAAAGTGATAGTCCGAACGTTTTTGGATGATTTATATATAAGTATAATTACGTTCACTAGCTGCCGCGCCCGATATTACTTGGATTTCGGGTTTCATAGAACCATTCATTGCTCACCAGGCGTTTGATCTCGTTTCTGCCTGGCTTTAGAACTGTAGGCGAACACGCTTATTGTTAGTTCGTTGATTAGAGTGCTTTCCGCTAGTTGCTCGCCGGGCGTTTATTTTTTCCGTTCTGCCTGAATCTCAATCTCTGGTGTTAGTTCCATTCATTAGTGTCCCTCCTGTTAGTCGCACGCCGTGCGTTAGTAATCCGATCAAACTCGCGCGGCGGGGAGGGATGGAGCTGGAGGAGGCGGCGCGGGAGCGGAAAGAGCGGCTGCGAGCGTTACGGGAGGCGGCGTCGATCGTGACAACAGGCGGCGAGAAAACGGCTAGCCTGCTAGCAGACGGCGACGATGGAAAGTGCGTTCATTCTCCGGAGGGGGGGGAGAGGTGGGGGAATGGGGGGGTCGGGGGGAAGGGGGAAAGGGTGAGGGAGACGAAAGAGGGGGGAGGGAAGGGAAAGGAAGGGAAGGGCGAGGGGTTGTGGGAGGGGGTTGTGGGAGGTGGAGGGGGAGGGGAAGGTGGGGTGGGGGAGGAGGGGGATGGGAGGGAGCGGCATGAAATGGTCGGGGATTTGCCGCGCAAGTCATGCCGAGCTCTTGCGTCAGGACGTCCCGTATCCACGTGTGCGCTCCCCCCGTCCCCGTACTCCTCCATTTGCATTTTGAGTCGACTCAAAATACATCAAGCAAGTCATGTCGCGCTCTTGCGTCAGGACGTCCCAGTGCGCGCATGTGCGCTCCCCCAGTCCCCGATTTTTGAAGCGCCTCAAAAAACGTCTCGTACGTGCATGGGCGCCCCCCCAGTCCCCGTACTCCTCCATTATTTACGAGCCGTCGTGCGTTTAAGACACTTTGGGAATTCCGCTGTTGAATCCCCAGCTCAGCTCGTAGCAACTCCCAGACCCCGTACTCCTCAATGTTTTTTCGAGCCCTCGTGCGTTTTAGACACGCTTAGCTCGTAGCAAGCTCGTTGTGTGAGTGAACTCCTCTGTGGGACACTGCGAGGAAATTCCTCTGTTCAATGCCCAAGCACGTAGCAATGTCTCTCTCCCCCCCTCCCCACCTCTGCTGGTATAATTCCTATTCGCGAATCTGTCATGGCATTCCTGGTCAATGCCCAAGCTCGTAGCTCTGAGTGTCGCTCTCTCCACCGCTTCCCAACCACCCATCCACCCCGCCCGCCCCCCTCTCTCTGCTTGTGTAATTGCTATTTGCAAATCTGGTCATGGCTTTCCTGGTCAATCAATGCCCAAGCTCGTAGCCCTACCCCCCTCTACCCGTTTTTGAGCCCCCCTGTTCGTATCACTCTTTCAAATATTTAAGCTGTCATTTCTTTCCTGGCCAATGCCCTAACTCGTAGCCCAGTGTCTGTCTCTCTCTCCCCCGCTTCCCAACCACCCACCCCCCCCGCCCCCCCTACCCCCCCTCTGCTTGTATAATTCTTATTCGCAAATCTGTCATGCCTTTCCTGGTCAATCAATGCCCAAGCTCGTAGCTCTATGTGCGTGTCTCTCTCTACCCCTCTCCAACCACCCACCTTCTCCTCCCCTTTCCTTCTTCTTGTATCACCTTCTATTGCAAATCTGTCATGGCTTCCCCGGTCAATGCCCAAGCTCGTAGCTCTGTGTGCGTGTCTCTCTCTACCCCTTCCCAACCAACCCCCCCACCCCCCCTTTCCTCCCCTTTCCTTCTGCTTGTATCACCTTCTATTGCAAATCTTTCATGACTTCCCCGGTCAATGCCCAAGCTCAGCAATGTGTCTGTCTCTCTATCCCCCTTCCCAACCACCCCCCTCCTTCTCTTCCAGTCTCCCCCCCTTCTGCTTATATCACCTTCTATTGCAAATCTTTCATGACTTTCCCGGTCAATGCCCAAGCTCGTAGCTCCAAGTTTTTCCCTCTCTCTCTCACTCTACCCCTTTCTAATCCTCTGGTATACAGGGAGAACGAGCCTGTGGCGGAGGTTCGGTTCCGGAGCTACTTGCCTCGGGACGACCAGCTGATGGAGAGGAAGCTTCCTCCAGCGCAGCTCCCCAAGTTCCAGGAACCTACCGCCGCCCAGCCACTGTTCTTAGACCCGAACGAGGTGAGTATAAATAGATCTGATAGGTACGAAGGAATAAAGAGCGAGAGAGAAAGAAAGAAAGAGAGAAAGATAGAACAAAATAAAAAAATGAAGAAAGAAAAAAAGAAAGAAAGAAAGAAAGAAAGAAAGAAAGAAAGAAAGAAAGAAAGAAAGAAAGGAGGAAAAAGGGTTTGGTATTCTAAGAGGCTTTATGGGCTAGCCTAGCCCGCAGCAATCTACAATGAGCCCTGTGGTGGCAAAACTATGAACCAAGTAGTAGAGTGGCTTTTGAGAATTCTCAAAAGTCGCTCCAATATAGCCTGCAGCAATCTACAATGAGCCCCCTGCTGGCAAAACTATGAACCAAGTAGTCTGGCGCACTTGTCCCGACGCCCTCATTTTCCCTCCGTTCTGTCTATTCTCCCTCATTGATTGATGCTGCCCCCTCTTGAGGCGCCTCGAAAACCAAGTTGTCTGGTGCACTCGTCGTGACGCGCTCATTTTCCCTCCTCACTGTCCTTCATTCTCCCTCCATCTTGCTGCTCCCTCCTTCCCACGTGGACCCAGTAACGGCCATCGCTCCTCGCAAGGTCCTTTGGGACTTAAGAAGGGATGTGGCAAAGCGACTAGCCAAGATGGAGAGATGCACTTATCGCCTCCATCCTGCTGCTCCCTTTCTTTCCCCTCCATCCTGCTGCTCCCTTTCTTTCCCCTCCATCCTGCTGCTCCCATCCTTTTCCCTCCATCACTTTGCTATCTAAACCCATCAGGACCCAGTAACAGCCATCGCTCCTCGCAAGCCCAACTGGGACTTACGGCGGGATGTGGCGAAGCGGCTAGCGAAGCTGGAGAGACGGACGCAGCGAGCGATGGTCGAACTCATGAGTACGTGATCCTCTTGCCTGCTCTGCTCATGAGTACGTGATCCTCTTGCCTGCTCTGCTCATGAGTACGTGATCCTCTTGCCTGCTCTGCTCATGAGTACGTGATCCTCTTGCCTGCTCTGCTCATGAGTACGTGATCCTCTTGCCTCTTCATATGGGTTTAAGACTGCCTGCTCTGCTCTTGCAATTCTTCCTCTCTGTTACATTTGAACCTGCGGCGAAGCGGCTAGCCAAGCTGGTGAGGCCCACACAGCGAGTCGAGTTTTGCGTAGACGAAGCGGCTAGCCAGGCTGGAGAGGCCCACAGAGCGAGCTCTGATCTGATCGAACCATGAGTGCGTGGCGTTGTATTTTAGAAGCTCCCCATTTAGGTTTACAACGAGTTAAAATGAACCAAGCTGGAGAGGCGCAGACAGCTATCTATGATTGAACTCATGCGCACGTGCTGCTGCTCTTGCCTTCCTTCGGTGCCGCTCCACCCCACTCTGCCGCTCCACCGCACTCTCTGCCTCTCCACCCCACTTTTTGTTACGTTTGAGGCCTGTGGTGGTGAAACTTGGCGAAATGATAAGCCAAGCTGGAGAGGCGCACTCGAGGAGCCACGATCGAACTCATGAGTACTTGCTTCTCAGGCACCTCTCTGTTGGATCTTGTGTTGTTGTTGGATTGTCGAATATTGTGGTTTTGCTCCCCTGTTCCCTGCTGCTTCTAGTCCTTCCCTCTGTTACTTTTGGTTTTTGAGAATTCTCAAATCCCTGCTGTTTGTATGTAGTCCTTCTCTTTGTTACTTCTCTTTGTGTGTCTGGTCTGCACCCTGACCTGGTTTGCTCTTTGTTTGTGCCTTCTTCTTCCTCCCTGTTCTTCTTTCTTCGTTTTCTTCTGGCTGCATTTATAACAGGGGAAGAAGAGGAGAGGCGGCAGCAGCAAGAGTCGGGCGTAGAAGGGTCTTGAAACTGAGCAACCTGAAATTTAGCCGAATTAGAAAATGCAGCAATGGGGATGACTTATCTGAGAGTGTATCATGCATCTCGTTTATTTCCTTTCGATTTAGGCTCAGTTCAGCACACTTGTACAAATGGCAAGCAAACTCTAAATCTGCTACACTACAATGCATCACACAGAGCAACTTAGTACAAGCCTTGTCATGGCCCATATGGGGCTTTTTCCCAGTGCAATTCTCCCTCCACTATCCATCTTCACCTGATCAACTCTTCTGCGCTCCTCTGTGCTGCAATTTGCATCACAGGCTGTTGGACTAGCTACTTTCAGCAAAAGCACAGGTTGCACCTCCAGTTGCTGCTGCCACTTGGCTCCCTCCCCCCCCTCTTTTTCCAACGCTCTGAGTGAAAGTGACTAACGGTATGGGTCGGCTCAGTGTTTGTTCCCATTCTCCCTCCAGTCACTCAGCGCTGCTTGAATCTACTCTTGGTTCCAACCACCTCCCTCCTCTCTTTCCGAGCTTGAGTGGAAGCGACTTTTGAGTCGGCTCAGTGTTTATTCCCTTTCTCCCTCCAATCACTCAGTGCGGCTTGAATCGCCTCAAGCTGCTGTTGCCACTTGGCTCCCTCCCCCCTCCTCCTTTTTCAGCGCTTGAGAAATCGGTGGAGCCAGGGAACCGTGTGTTGTTGTGATGGTTCGGCTCAGTGTTTGTTCCCATTCCCCCTCCAGTCACTCAGCGCGGCTTGAATCGCCTCCAGTTGCTGCTTCCACTTGGCTCCATCCCCCTCCTCTTTTTTCAGCACTTGAGAAATTGGTGGAGCCAGGGAACCGTGTTGCTGTGACTAGGCGGCTGTGGTTCTTGTGGTGCGAGTCGGGCGGAGTTGAATCGAGCAGGTCAATTCCGGCAATAGCATGCGTGTAGCGGGAAAACCCGGACAATATCCCCGTGCGAGGGGCAAACCTCCCTCTGTCACCTGCTGCTGCTGCAGCTGCGTCTTCTGCTGCTTCTGTGCGCTCTCCTTCTCCTTCTCCTGCTGCTGCTGCTGCTGCTGCTGCTTCTGCTCCTGCTGCTGCTGCTGCTGCTGCTGCTGCTGCTGCTGCTGCTGCTGCTGCTGCTGCTGCTGCTGCTGCTGCTGCTGCTTCTGCTCCTGCTGCTGGTGCTGCTTCTGCTGCTGCTGCTTCTGCTGCTGCTGGTTTGCTCTGGACTTTTCGCGATGCTGTTTCAGCATCACCAGCAGCATCACCACCAGCAGCGGCCTTGTCAGGCAAACTTTGCTTTCTTCTGCGCAGGTGACAGGTCATGTGGCCGCCCAGAGCCTGTGACGTGGCGAAATTGAGGCCACAGAACGAGCAAGCATACCCCTCCGGCCGCACGTGGCGCTTCCCAATGGGCGGCAGGCTCATGATTGCCCTGCGGCGAATCTCAATCAAATCCGCATCCAGCGTATCAAATGTAGAGTTGAAAGAGTCAAACGAGTGGCGAAATTGAGGGTTGTACCCAGCGCCCCTCTTATCAAAATCGCCAGCTGGTTGGGATGCAGATTGTGGAAACCACCGCTTATCTGCGCTTGCAGTTGGACTTCCCATGCTTCTCCCCTCCAGCTGCTGCTGCTCCTCTGGATTCATCCACTCACTGCCACTTGCCGTCTGCCGTATCCCCATTATTGAGTCGCCTCGTTTAGCTCCAGAAGTTACTCCCCAACTCCTCATTTCCCCACCTCCTGGGCCGTGCGGTTCTTCTGGAGCTTGAGTGGAGCCGGAGGGTGTCCTTGCGAGCGCCATTTTTTGGAGAAGGGTATTTCGGAGATTACTCCTGTCGCTCAGCCGACTCCCGTCACTCCTGTTTGTAGCAAATGTCATTTCTGAATGCGTTTGCCCGTGGCTGGCGAATCCATAACCGCCATTGCTCAAACTGTGACTGTAGTCGCCGGTGTGACTCAAATGAGGGCGTTTGTTTCCAAAAAGGGGCTCGGAAAACTGCCGTCCCACATTTGCGATAGCCGCTCCGCCTAATGTGTGCTTGCCAAGAACACTACGTGGTTCCAAAAACGAATGTGACCCAGTAGCGCGGATTCCATTATTCTCAGGAGGAGCTGAATGAAAAGTAGTTGAGCGCCGAGGAGCAGCGAACTGGTAACCGTGGGTTTCGCTGAAGCCAGCCGCGTTACGGTCACCGCGTTGCCACCCAGTTCCCAGATTTCCAACACCAACTTTTCCCGCCAAATCTCCACTCGGTTTGCTCACTTCGTAGCAGTTATCTCTGCTACCCATCGTGGCACAGCTCCCCATCCCCCAGCTGTTCATAAGCAATTTCGGCGACTTGAGAATACCAGCAGAATCCGCCATTCGCCTGTCGTGATCCGCCGAACCTTCCGCCGCAAATGAGTTAGGGTTTCCGAACTGAGCTGTCGCTCGCGAATCGGATTTCCACGACATGGATGCGATTTCCTGGCGGCGCCCGTTCGAAACGTCTGCGTTTCGAACATCACAGCTTCCGCCACCCAATCCGCCGCCGCCGCCGCTTACCCCGCAGTTCCCCGCCCACACTCCGCCATTCTCGAAAATCGCGAAGTCCTTCCAGCTCCGTTTCTCTTGCGACAGCGAAAGTCGCCGTCCCTCCACAGCCGTCGCATCAGCTACCGCAGGCGATTCAGTCGGCGATGTTGCCAAAACGACGCCACGCGGCTCATTGAAACGGGCAGTGCCCGCAAAAGCCGCCTCCCCCGCCTCTGTCAAATCGCCAGGACGTCGCAGCCCCAGGTAAGTGGCAGCGTCAGCAGCAGAGGTAGGGGCGACCGCATCCGCGCTAGGAGCGAGCTCGTCCTCCTGCTGTGTCGGGGGTTCGTTCAGGTCAAAACCCGACGCGATGCCGGTGCCGGTTCCGCCGGTAGCGGGCGGAGTCACTACGCGCGCGCATTCCACTGACGCGCCAGAGCTCGGCGAAGCAATTTCCGCGCAGTTCTTCGCAGCACCACCGGGCCCGATCTTCGAACCCGCTTTTTCCGCGTAATCCCTCCAATCTCTTTCAAAATTCAGCTCGGCCTGAACAGCAAAAGGAGCCGGCTGCGCGGCGGCCCTCCGCCGCTCCTGCTCCGCGAGGCTCGTTTCCGCCCTGCTCGGATTTCCGCCAGCGCCGACGATTTTTTGTGGAAAGTTCTCGCCCATAAAGACCTCCATCATGGCTCTGCTTGTTCCGCCTGCGCCAGCTGCGCCGCTAGTTCCGCCTGCTTCGCTTTCTCCGCCTGTTTCGGGTCCGACTTGAAGCCGTGTCAGACTTTCATAAGGGAGCTGCGCGAAGTTTCGCCGCATGGCTTCGTTCAGCGGAAGCGTTACGGGGGAAGGTCGAGTTAAACAGTGCTCTGAAGTGAGGAGTTCAAGAGTCTTAGAAGTGTTTGTGAGAGTGAACTCCCCGCTTTCGAGGCGTAATGCATTGCCGCGGCCGTCTTCCGTTTGTGGTTTCATGTTGTCGTGACGCCAGCCGTTCCATCCTGACGTTTGCTCGTTTCGGAGGGCGTCGAACGGAGTGTTAGGGAAAGTCTCTAGCTCGACACACTCTCTCGCCTGCCATGGCGCAGTCATTCTCAAACTCAAATTCGTCGTCAGTTGTGATTGTGTGCTTACAAATGTTCAGCACAGCTTCGAAGCGGCAAAGAGCAATTCTGAATGCTTTAGGAAGGAGACCAGTGAGACTGGATAAGGTGTTGCAGGTTGTACAGTCACAATGAGTCACAGAACTGAGTGTGGGAATGGAACTTGAGTTGCTGCTCTTGTACACGTCCCAACCAGGGCTGTCGATTCAAAGGCATTTGCCCTTAACTCCCTGAACATTTTGGGCTATGTTTGGCGCATATCTACCATTTAAAAGGCTTTATTCTACTGGCACCCGTACCAGTGAAGGGCATCGTTTGGCCCTTCCCCGGACTCGTGAAGTGCTCAATCTGGGCCGTCCCCTGAATCTAAGTTCTACTTTCGGTTCCGCAGACCACCCCTCTAAAATCTTGCGGAACACCCCCCTCCCCTTACCCCCCCTCTCCATGAAAGTTGCACAATATGGCACCAGGTGGAGGATGTTTCACTCGATTTTTATCCAATCTAGTGTGTGTGTAGTGTCGAAGTCAGGAGATGAGTAGAAATGCAGTAGGTTGTGCAGCTGTAGTTGTAGTTGGAAGTTGTGACATACAGGTTGACTGGAGTGGCTAGTAGTGAAAGTATGTGATTTTCTTGTCTATAATGCTGTTTAGGATAGATAGTTCAGTACACAGCACATTGGAGCCCGGATTTCAAGATTAACACTTCGGCCTGCACCCGTGACCGTTAAGGGCGAAAATTTGGTCACCTAACTGAAAATCAGGGTCAGAATTTCAGCACCTGGGGGCATCAAGTTCTGCCCCTAGGGATATCGACAGCCCTGGTCCCAACTCTCACTGAAAGCGATGTGTGGCAGAGATGGGATGAGGTGGGAGAACCTCAGCATTTCAGGAAGGTTCATCGGTTACTGTAACAGTCCTTCGAGACAGGAAGTGAAAGGAGCACCCGTCAGTAAAAATCACAATGGAATCCAGTGTTATCAAACAGAATATCATCACGTTGAGGACACCCAGAACACTATGGAAATTATCACCTTGTGAACCTTGTTTATTTTGTTTTTATAATGACACAGAATTTTGGGTGGCAGCCCGTAGTTCCATCTGGTTCAGGGTGACCTCGTATCGTTGTGTCAGTCGTCACAAGCTGGACCCTGCAGCAACAAGAGGCAAGCTAGCTGGGCGGTGCTTGCCCATTTCCTCCCAACCACAGAATCACCACCTGGCACGCTTGCATATGGAGGCATGAGCGTGACTCGGCCCGTTACAGTATCCAGATGTGGGATGCCAGCAGTGACCTGCTGCGCTGGAGTGGAGTCATCATGGCGGAACATCTGGAAACTGTGTGTTTGTTCCGCGAAATTTAATGCACACTTCTGTTGTTTTAGTTGACATATACTACAGACACTGTACACCCTAATGCTCACCCAAATGCCCATTCTGAACATGCTCCAGCTACTCCATACGCCCAGTGGTCGACATTTCCAGCCATCGGCCTGAACGTTACAGGCGCACGACAAAAGCAAGATACTCTTGACCTCGAATAAGTTATTCGAGTTTCCCAGAAAAGACACGCTAGGCTACCAAAATACAGTCCCATTCTCCCCATGGGGAACGCGTGCTCGAGAGAGGAGCACAGAGAATGATAGAGAAGGAGACTGAAATAGGTATCAGGTGTATTCCAACCACGTATTTTGAATCCCCCCCCCCCCCCCCCCCTCCCCCCCCCCCCCCCCCCCCCCCCCTGCGCACACCCCAGAGCCCTTCATTTCACTTGCATGAAACGCCAAGAGGTCGCGTCTAGGGTTCCAGACCAGACCAATGTGTTTCAGGAGAAAGACTACTCTTTCAATGGGACACTCTAGGGATCGCAAGAGTTTTTGGATGACGGGCTCGCAACCAGTGTTGCCAGGCTAGTCCTTTGCACCCTTCCACTAGGTTTCGTTCCAGCAACGTGCAATATACTGGCCCTAGACTCATAGATTGTGTCCACTAAAGAAAGTGTTTACGGACGTTGTGGCTAAGTGCTTAAAGAAAATCAATCCCAGGAGTTTTTTTCACTTTGGATGAGAGATAAACAGAGAGGATGGATCCATGATTTTCAACAGAAATGTGATTGCGTTGCAGTTGCTCATCTGTCGTCCAGTCAGCAAATTTTCAGCGAGTTCAGTGAGCTGGCAGGCAAGCACGTCCCTGCACGCTTCTGATACTGTACACCAGCAGCTTGATACACCTGACAGTTGAGCATGTTTGGGTCAAGTGAGCCAGCACTTGACCTAAAGTGACCTGATTGACGACTTCCCTGCCAGCCTACACTTCAGCTGAAGGTCAGTCAGCCAGACTAGCCAACACTTCAGTGAGAGGAGGAATGATTCGCCAACGCCCTAAAGCTTGCATGCTCAATTGGTATTAGAAAGAGCAGGGTATCAAATGTTTACAAAAATGCGGAGGGTGGTGGAGTCAGGGTGACGGATGGTGTTGCTCTGACAAGCGGGTCAAAATCAAACACAAATCCATAAACCCTAGTCGCTCTGCCGACAAAATAAGGAGTCGAGATCATGACGTCATCCTTATCGCATCGAATCATTCACCTTGTCCAGGTGGTCAGCGTGCGATACGAAATTATGTGGTGGAGGAGATGTCAAGGAGAATTCGCTCAAATCATGGGATTCCCGTCCACATAAGCCACACAAATCTTTTGTCCAGGTTCATAAGCGGTGCGGGAGTAACTAGCCGAGTCAAACCTCGGAAATTCAGTTCTGTTTCACTTGTTATCCCAAACAGAAACGGTGTTACACTAGTTCTCGATAACTGCACACCCCCTACCCTTTTTTTCCGTATGTACCCTTTACGGACTCTGTCTTGATGCGATGGACACCCAGAGATTGCGGGACTAGACAGCTGGCAGGTGCCTTCAGAAAGAAACTCGCACTTAAAATTCGGGGTATGGGTTTAGTTAGGTTTGGGTTCTCTTTTATATTCTTGGTGCACCCCGACAGTTCGCGAAAGTACGTCGGACCCATCCGCGGTTTTCCTAGACGCTGGTAGCTACCCTACGAAACCGATAGGGGTAGGTTAAGTATCCCAGGGTGTGTGATTAAGGGGTACGAAATAATCGAGAACAGGATGTAGCTCGTCTCATCGTATGAACTACGGTATAACAGAGAAACAGCATTAGCAAGATGTAGACGTGCAAACAGAAAATGAGTGGACATGAGGGGTGAACCCAACCAGCTAAGAAATTGTAATAAGAACAATTTATGCGTAACGCACCAACAATGTCACTTCCAGGAAGGTACGGTATATCACTACAACCAGGGTAATACGCCACATAAGTGAAACACCTAAAACAATACGGCATGAGGCAGTTGCTAACTCAACTGGACGAAATGTAAATCAAAACAGAAACTATCTTGCTTTCACCGGCCAAAGATGATCGTGGTACTACTCTGCCTCTGCCTGCTTACCATTAGGCCGCACCAAGGTAAGACCATCCCCAGTCTCCCCCGCATCACGTGCACTGTCTCCTGCTCCAAGCTTCTCATCGCCTTTCCGCTTCCCCAAAGTTCCATTGCTTTCAGCACCCCCCTGTGCTTTCACACCATCCTGCCCGACCTGCCCAACCTGCCTGGCCTGCCCAGACTGCCCAACCAAACTTTGCCGAGTATCATTCACGCCCTCTTCAGAATCAGATTCCGAATCTGAATCTGAACCAGAATCTGAGCCAGATTCATCAATAGTCTCTCCATCGCTGGTGTAATGAAACACTGTAAACTCCTTTTCTGTCCGCTCCTTCCGCTCCTTCACCTTTGATACCACTTTTGATACCGATACATCCCCTGCTGCCTTTCCCTCTCCCCCCACCGTCCCCGATGGTGCCGACGGTCCTACCCCCTCCGCACTAGAAACAGCATTACTTGCGACTGGGGCTTTTTCAACAGCGACAGATGGAGCAGCGGCAGCAACGGAAGTTGTAGCGGCAACAACAGGGGGCGAAGCTACAGAGGCAGAGGAGGTAAGAAGAGCAACAGCTGACCCACCACTCACCACAGCCCCATTCTGCTTCGCACTGTCAATACCACTGGTGCTGCTGCTACTGCCACTGGAGCTGCTTCCGCTATCACCGCTGCTGCTGCTGGCTTTCGATGCAGCTGCTGCTGCTGCATCTACTGCCTCTGTTGCTGTTGAGAGTTCTGCTTCTGCTTCTACTTCTACTTCTTTTGCTGTCAGTGGTGCTGTTGCTTCTGCTGCAGTTACAGAGTCTGTGAGTGAGTGTGTCACATCATCAGCAGCTGCTGCTGCTGGTGCTGCTGCATTGGCGTCTGGTACTGCTGCCGTCATACTTCCTCCTGCTCCCCCCTCACTCACAACCCCCTCAGCTTGTGTCTTCTTTGCAACGGCCTTAACTTCTGAAGTATCCCCTCCTCCTAAACCCTCTCCTGAGACTGCTCCAAGACTAGCAACCTCTGCACCCCTCTCAACCGTTTGAAACTCAGCTGCCTTCACATCTTCCCCACCTCGCCCCTCACCACTCTTCTCCATCACACTCCCTTCCTCTCCACTCCCTCCAACCGCTCCTGCCTTCCTATCCATAGCTTCCAGAATCAACCTCTCATCCTCGTCTTCATCTGAATCTTCTTCCGCCCAATCCTCATCCTCATCTAATTCTTCTTCCCCCCACTCCTCATCCTCCCCATCCTCTCTCTCCCCCTCTGAAGCCTCGGAACTTAATCCCTCCACCTTTTTTCCCTCCTCCTTATCCTTCCCCACCCCAGCATCCTTCCCAGAAACCTCAGCACCCCTCACACCCTCCCTTTCCTCCTCTACCTTCTCCTCCTTCCCCTTTTCTTCCAATATCCCTCCCAACACACTCCTAAACTGCCCTTCCACCTTTCTCACCTCCACCCCCTCCTCCCTCCTCCTCCTCCTCCTTCCATCCTCCTCCTCTCCCTCGCTCTCTGTGTCCCCCGAATGCCCTGCAAAGGCTTCAGGTAATTCCCCAGGTGCCGCCTCTGTTTCAACCACCTGAACAGGTGTTCCTGCAGGGTAGGCGTCCAGGATAATATCGAGATCCGATCCTTGGATCTCTCCCTTCGCCATTAGCACCTAAAGTGTGACAATAAAGGCAGAGAAGGAAAAATGAGCGGGAGCAGCAGTTAGTGAAGCAGAGAGAGTAAAATCCATCCACCAACCAATTGCAGAAAATAAACCAACATTTTTTTTTTTAGATTTGGATGTGCATACTCATGTATGTATGTTTAGATCGGGTGCATTGACCCGCCAACAACTCACATTGACTGCCTTGACCAGAGCCGCCTTGTGATCTGCCAGCAGTTGCCTTGTTGTGACTGGCACAATACGCTTGGTCATTAACCACATGCATATATGTATCTGTATATTGAGTAGCCATTAACTCACGATGACTGCCTTGACCAGAGCCGCCTTGTGATCCGCCAGCAGTTGCCACGTGGCAGCATGTGGGAGCATATGTACATACATGTGAAGATGAATTGACTGCATTGACTACATCGACCCGCCCGTAACTCACATTGACTGCTTTAACCAGGGCCGCCTTGTGATCAGCCAGCAGCTGCCACGTGGCAGCATACGCCTCGTCCAGCAAAGAGTGCGCCATGTCAGCCGCCACGTCATCAGCATGATCGCTGATCTTCCCCCCCGTGAACCCGTAGTCAGCGTAGAGGCTCCCCTCAAAGCCCAGAGAAGGGCCGCTGGCAGTGCTGCGGCGCTTCCAGGCGGGTGGGATGCCCCGAGGCAATACTTTCCCTGCCATGTGCCATCTGGGATGGGTGGGGGAGTTGGGTGGGGAAATGGGTGGGGGAATGGGTGGGGGAATGGGCGTGGGGTCAGGGATTCAAGCGCTGGCAGTGCTGCGGCGCTTCCAGGCTGGCGGAATTCCTCTAGGGAGCACCTTCCCCGCCACGTGCCATCTGGGGTTGGGGGAGAGGGAGGGGAGAACAAGAAGTGGGGTTGAGAGGGTGGGGGTTAGAGGTTGAAGGGTTGAGCTTCCGACGGGCCGCTGGCAGTGCTGCAGGGGTAACACCACGTGGACCACCACCTCCCCCTTCCCCAGATGGCACATGGCAGGAAAGGCCGCTTCCAGGCGGGCGGGATGCCCCGAGGTAACACCTTTCCTGCCATGTGCCATCTGGGGAAGGGGGAGAGGGGGGAGGGGGGGTGGGGGGCTTGGGGGAATGGGCATAGGGTCAGGGTTTGATGCGCTGGCAGTGCTGCGGCGCTTCCAGGCGAGTGGGATGCCTCTGGGGAGCACCTTTCCCGCCATGTGCCATCTGGGGAAGGAAAGAGGGGGAGATGACAGAATATAGGGAGAGATCAGGGTTCAAGAAAATGGGTCTTTACATGTAAGTGCCCTTGTCACAGCAGACAAAAGCTCGTGCCGCCCGGATCTTCACACAAAGACAAACTTGTAAGCCACCAATGAGGCCCTTGCCGCCCGGGCACTCACATGGAGACAAACTTGTACGCCATCCAAGAAGCATCCGCCACGTGGCGCTGACTGTACGTGCTGCTGTCCCGCCCCCACACCACCTCCTCTGCCGCCCGGCCGCCCAGCAGCACCTGCCACGTCACACAAGCAAAGAAGGCAATGATGGTAAATCTGCACAAAGCAAAAAGAGGTGAAACAGACTCATGCAGGTGACTTGAGTTTACTAAGGCCCTGAGGCTTCAAAAGAAGGTACATCACTTGCTATCGTTACGGTATTTACACAACAGTACTTGCGATGGCTACAGCAACTGAATCGCTACAGTACCCACAACTGCAACAGCAGCACCAGCCATCACTACAGTACCTGCAATCGGTGTAGCAGCGTTCGTCTCTTCTCGAAAAGGTACGCCTCATCATCAATGCGGTTGAATACGGTCCACGAGGGTGTCTGGTGGTACAGGAAGCGTTTGAGTGAGAATTCATTGAACACAGAATGTGGGGATATCGGTAATATCTCAGAATGAACTTTATAGCAAAATACCGGTACGTACTTAAAGCTTGCTCTAAGTTTTGGGAGCGTTATACCGAGCGATACGCACAAAAATCGTCAACCGTTAGCTCTTCGGGTCTTTGCGAAGGGGTTCAGAGGGCGTTGAGAGGATTGAAAAAATAGAGCTTTTAAAGATGGAAAGAGGTGAGCGAGGGGGGGAGACGAGCGAGGAGCGAGGGGTCGAGATGCACGGGAGTTAAGAGCGAACCTGTTCAACCCACTGCAAAAACAGGTCGACCAGGCTGCAACTCTTTGTGCATCGACCTGTTTTTGCAGCAACCTCGCCTCCATCCACCCGCTCCTCACTCCCCTTCGCCTCAACCTCTCGCTCCTCGCTCGCCTCCCCCTCGCCTCCTCGAGCCCACCTCAAGCCCCTAAACCCTGGGATGAGACCTCACAACTCCTCGGGGCACGATGGAGAGTCGCTGCGGCGGCTCCACCTGAGCATCGTCATACTCAATCAGCAGCAGCGCCGTCAGCGCCAGCCCCGCCTCGTGCACCACCATTCCCCTCCCACACCCCTGAACCCTGCCAAAACCCTCAACCCCTACACCCTGAACCCCGCCTCGGGGCACGATGGAGAGTCGCTGCAGCGGCTCCACCTGAGCATCGTCATACTCAATCAGCAGCAGTGCCGTCAGCGCTGGCACCGTTTCATGCACCGCCATTCTCGTACCCCTTATACCCTGAACCCCTTAAAAACCCTCAAGCCTTACCTCGCCTCGGGGAACGATCGAAAGCCGTTGAGGCGGCTCCACCTGAGCATCGTCATACTCAATCAGCAGCAGCGCCGTCAGTGCCAGCCCCGCCTCGTGCACCGCCATTCTCCGCACCAGCATCGGGTGCTTGCCCTGCTCTGCCCCCCATCGCTCCCGGGGCGTGCCGAGGGTGAGGCGGTCCGCTGCCGTGTAGAGATCCTCGTCCTCTATCTCCCCCGCCCCCCTCCTCACCGCCACCAGCGCCGCCTCCTGCAGCAGATTTGCCAGCTGGGCGCCACTCCACCCTGGAAAGAGGAGAAGTTTGAGGGGTATGAGGGGTTATGAGGGGTGAAGGAGGGGTTTCAGGGGATTCAGATCGGAACTAGCGAGGGTTTGCCTTCTGCAGCAGATTCACCAGCTGCGCACCAATCCCACCCTGGACACGGGTCCAGGTGTCATGAGGAGTTTGAGGAGGGGTTTGAGGGTATTTAGTGAGTTGACGAGGAGTTGAGAGAGGGTTGTCCCGTTTCCATCCTCCTATGACTACATCTCACATCGGGACCCTGATGAGAGAGGGTCATGCCGTTTCCCTCCTGCCAGCATATTGCTGTGTTCCCCTCCCCATTCAGACCCTTTCCACTCTGCGTCCACCCTCCCCTCTTTACTCCAACGCACCACATGCCTGTATCGATCAACTTATGAGTTCCAATAGTTTTACATTCAAGACTCTACCTGCGAGGTTGCCTGCGATCGTGTCGAGGTCCACGTGCGGGCTCATCTTGACCTTCTCGGCATGCACCTTCAGCACCTCCGCCCTGCCCTTTGAGTGGCTGACATGACCTTTCTGACACCTGCTGATCCTGGACCATGCACGCAAAGACAGGCCCTGGCATTACCTGCGAGGTTGCCTGCAATGGTGTCGAGGTCCACGTGCGGGCTCATCTTGACCTTCTTGGGGTTTCAATGTTTACAAGTTACAAGTATGACATGGCATTACCTGCAAGGTTGCCTGCAATCGTGTCGAGGTCCACGTGCGGGCTCATCTTGACCTTTTTAGCATGCACCTTCAGCACCTCCGCCCTGCCCTTGGATCCTGGAGGCACGATGGTGATCTGACAGGCAGCAGAGGGGCAACACAGGAGCAACAACGGAGAGCACGGGGGAGAGACAGGTTGGAACAGGAGAAGCAGCGGTGGAGTTATCTCAGAGCAATCAGCTTGATCATCTTGACCTTCTTGGCATGCACCTTCAGCACCTCCGCCCTGCCCTTGGACCCTGGAGGCACGATGGTGATCTGAGGGGCAGCAGACAGGTGGGAAGACGGGAGATGCAATGATGGTGATGTATGATAGCAGCCACATTGACCCTCTTGGCATGCACCCGCAGCACCTCCGCCCCCCCTGGCCCCCCTGGCCCCTCTCACCTAACCCCTTCCCCCTGGCCCCTCCCTCCCTCCACGCCCTGCCCTCATGGCCGCTGCACCTACTTCACCACATCCTGACTTGTACCTTCCGGTCGAATCGTCCCGGGCGCAGCAGGGCAGCATCGAGCATGTCCATGCGGTTGGTAGCGCCGATAAACACCACCCCCTGCCCGGCAATCACTCACTGCCCCTGCCTTTGTGCCCACCAACCACCCACTCCAGATCCCTACCTTTCTGTCGAATCGGCCAGGCCTGAGCAGGGCAGCATCGAGCATGTCCATGCGGTTGGTAGCTCCGATGAAAACCACCCCCTGGCCGGTGTCGAAGCCATCCAGCTCGATGAGCAGCCACTCCCCCTCCCCCTACGCCTTCCCCTCACCCACTTCCCCTCTTGCTCACTACGTGCTCACAACCACCACACTCGCACCTTTCTGTCGAATCGGCCAGGCCTGAGCAGGGCAGCATCGAGCATGTCCATGCGGTTGGTGGCGCCGATGAACACCACCCCCTGGCCGGTGTCGAAGCCGTCCAGCTCGATGAGCAGCTGGTTGAGGGTCGTCTCACGCTCCGTCACTCCTGCATCCGCCCCCTCGTCCCCTCCAGCTGAGGACCGTCTGGGAAAGGAGAAAAGGGAGGGAAGGGGCGAGGTGAAAGGGAAGGGAGCATCAGCAACGGAACCCCCTGGCCGGTGTCGAAGCCGTCAAGCTCGATGAGCAGCTGGTTGAGGGTCATCTCACGTTCCGTCACTCCTGCATCCGCCCCCTCCTCCCCTCCTGCAGACGAGCGTCTGGGTAGGGCGAATAGGCGGAGAGCAGTATTACGAGGAGGGGAGGAAGGGAAGAGGGAATGTGAGAGGGGAGAGAGAAGAAGTCAAGCTCGATGAGCAGCTGGTTGAGGGTCGTTTCACGCTCCGTCACTCCCACATCCGCCCCTTCGTCCCCTCCAGCAGAGGACCGTCTGCAGGAAGAGAGAACAAGACGGGCACGAGGAGTAGAGGGGACAGGAGGGTAAGCACTGAATCACCACCCCCTGGCCGGTGTCGAAGCCGTCCAGCTCGATGAGCAGCTGGTTGCGGGTCGTCTCACGCTCCGTCACTCCTGCATCCGCCCCTTCGTCCCCTCCAGCCGAGGACCGTCTGGGTAGGGCGAATAGGCGGAGAGCAGAATTACGAGGAGGGGAGGAAGGGAAGAGAGAATGTGAGAGGGGAGAGAGAATGGGAGAGGGGAGAGAGAAGAAGTCAAGCTCGATGAGCAGCTGGTTGAGGGTCGTTTCACGCTCTGTCACTCCCGCATCCGCCCCCTCACGCTCTGTCACTCCCGCATCCGCCCCCTCACGCTCTGTCACTCCCGCATCCGCCCCCTCACGCTCTGTCACTCCCGCATCCGCCCCCTCACGCTCTGTCACTCCCGCATCCGCCCCCTCATCCCCCCCTGCTGAGGAGCAGCTAGGCAAGGGAGAAGAGCAGTGGGAGATGGGAGGGGAGAAACGACGGGGAGGGGGGAAGAAAACGACATGAGAGGGAGAGGAAGGGATGGAGGGAGAAAGGTAGGGGTTGAGGGAGGGAAGGGGAGGGAGGGAGGGAGTGGGGGGAGGGAGGGAAGAAGGAAAAGGGGGAGGGAGGAAGGAAAGACGGGAGGGAGGGAGGGACGGAGGGAGGGAGGGCGGGAGGGGAGGGAGGGGAAGGGAGGGAGAATGGGAAACAGGAAGGGCATGGGGTGGGGTGGAAAGGAGGAGAGGACTTACGCACCACCGAGGGCGTCGACTTCGTCAATGAAGACCACAGTGGGGGAGAAAGTGGACGGCGGGCCGTGGGTGAGAAGACGGAGGAGGGGTGGGGAAGGAGAGGACTTACACGGCACCGAGGGCGTCGATCTCGTCAGTGAAGACCACAGCGGGCTTGTTGACCTTGGCCCGCTTGAAGAGAGGTGGGGCAGGGCAGAGGCGCGTAAGAAGAGAGTGGATGAGGGGAAGGTGGGGAAGGTGAAGGAGGCTACTTACGCGGCACCGAGGGCGTCGATCTCGTCGATGAAGACGACCGCGGGCTTGTTGACCTTGGCTCGCTTGAAGAGATCGCGCACACGAGCTGCCCCCACTCCCACCAGCACCTCGGCAAACTCAGAGCCCGCCATCTGGTAGAACGGCACTCCCGCCTCGCCTGCTATGGCCTTGGCCAGGAGCGTCTGGTGGAGAGAGGGTCATATGAGGGAGAGGGGAGCATAAGGGAGTGAGAGCAGGAGCAGCCGCCACTCAACTCCCACCAGCACCTCTGCAAACTCAGAACCAGCCATCTGATAGAAGGGCACGCCTGCCTCGCCTGCTATGGCCTTGGCTAATAAGGTCTGGGGGAGAGAGAGAGGGAGAGGGGGTCATATGAGGGAGAGGGGAGCATAAGGGAGTGAGTGCAGCCGCCACTCAACTCCCACGAGCACCTCAGCAAACTCAGAACCAGCCATCTGATAGAAGGGCACGCCTGCCTCGCCTCAAGGCTCAAGCACTCAGAGGGGCAAGCAGCAGAGCAAGTGGGGGCTCACCTTGCCGCAACAGGGCGGCCCTTCCAGCAGCACTCCCTGCCGTGAAGGGGCTTGCTTGGTTCCCATGACGTACTTGAGATGAGGATGAGAGGGGATGAGGAGGCAACCTCGGGCTTGCTTGGTTCCCACGAGGTTGCTGATCGCAATCCATCCAACCCCTCACCTCAAGGATCAAGCACTCTGAGGGGCACACAGCATCACTCAGCGAAGCAAGCAGCAGAGCAAGCGGTGACTCACCTTGCCACACCCGGGCGCGGACCTTCCAGCAGCGCACCGTGTGGGGAATTGGTTCCCATGAGGTTGAAACGCTGAGGGTCCTTCAGATACTTGCCTCCCCTCCCCCTCCTAGAAGTTAATGGTCAGAGGGGCAAACGACCGATCTTACCTTGCCACAGCCAGGCGGCCCTTCCAGCAGCACTCCGTGCGGGGGCTTGGTTCCCATGAGGTACCTGGGTGTTAATCATGTGCTCCCGCACCTTGCAACAGACAGAAGAACTTACCTTGCCGCACCCTGGCGGCCCCTCCAGGAGCACTCTGTGCGGGGGCTTGGTTCCCATGAGGTACCTGGGTGTTAATCATGTGCTCCCGCACCTCGCAACAGACAGAAGAACTTACCTTGCCACACCCTGGCGGCCCTTCCAGCAGCACTCCGTGTGGGGGCTTGGTTCCCATGAGGTTGAAGCGCTGAGGATCTTTGAGGTATTCCACGAGCTGAGTTAACACACAAAGGAAGAGAGGGGAGAGTGGGGGGAAAGGGGAGCAGTGCGGAGGGACGGCGGAAGGAAAAAGGGAGTGGGAGTTTTGCTTGGTCCCCCCATGAGGTTGAAGCGCTGGGAATTGTATAGGTACTGCAAGGGCCGAGAGGTGATGAATGAACGGGGAGAATTGAAGGGGGAGGGAAGGGAGGGTTGGGGAGTAAGGTGGCAAATGAGAGACACAGGGGGGGTGATTTCCATGTGTTTTAGGCACTTAAGTTCTTTAAGGAACATACATGCATACGTTTAGTATTAACAAGTTTGACACGTCACTCACCTCCTGTAGCTCCTGCACGGTCTCGTCGATGCCTGCCACATCCTCAAACTTCACTCCTGTGGAGCCCTGTTGATTTGGGAGGAGGCGCGAGGAGGGAGAGGGGGGGGGAGAGAGAGCTTCTTAGTCGACTCACGGGCCACCTCCTGTAGCTCCTGCACTGTCTCGTCAATGCCTGCCACATCCTCAAACTTCACTCCTGTGGAGCCCTGGTGAGAGGAGCAGAGGGGAGAGAAAGGGGAAACATAGAGGAGAGGATGGATGGATTTAGGTCACATCCTGCACTGTTTTGAGACGTCTCAAAACACTTCTTCAAACAGATGGATGGATTTAGGTCACATCCTGCACTGTTTTGAGACGTCTCAAAACACTTCTTCAAACAGATGGATGGATTTAGGTCACATCCTGCACTGTTTTGAGACGTCTCAAAACACTTCTTCAAACAGATGGATGGATTTAGGTCACATCCTGCACTGTCTCGTCGATGCCTGCCACATCCTCAAACTTGGCTCCTGTGGAGCCCTGGTGAGGAGAAAGAGGGAAACGGAAGAGAGGCCTGACGAGGAGAAGAGCGAAAGGAGAGAGAAGTTGTTTAGGGAGCGGGGAGAGATGGGGGAGAAGGAAAAGAAGAGACCACACGGCATGGCATGGCATGGCACGGCAGGGCATAGCATGGCATGGCATGGCATGGCATGGCATGGCACGGCACGGCACGGCATGGCATGGCATGGCATGGTACGGCACGGCATGGCATGGTACGGCAGGGCATGGCATGGTACGGCATGGCATGGCATGGCATGGCATAGCATGGCATGGCATGGCACCGCACCTGCCCAGCCCAGCCCAGCCCAGCCCAACTCAACCCAGCCCAGCCCAACCCAACCCAATCCAGCCCAGCCAAGCCCAACCCAGCCCAGCCCAGCCCACCCCAGCCTGGTGCCACATGGCGGAGCGGAGCACAACGCGGCACCGCAGGGCATCGCACAGCACACACTGCATAGTAGCAACCACTCACTCACCTCCACTCGAGCCTGGGGCTTGGACTGGCCGAACTCAATGGCTTGCCAAATGTCCTGCCAAAAATTAGAAAGGTTCAGACAGCACAGAGTACAGTGCTCAGGTTTTGGATTCAGGGTTCGAATCCAGGGTTTGAATTAAGGGTTTAAAAACCGGGTTCAGGAGTTTGGGTTTAGAGCTCATGGTTTGGATTGGCGGTTCTGCTCAATCTCATTGGAAAAATTGGATGCTTGTCTGCACACCACTAAAACGCATCTATTGAAAAAACGCCGCTCAAGCTGCCATAAACAGCACCACAAACACCATTCCCCACCACCCGATCCCCATTCACACCCCTGCTATCACAGCTTTCCCCCCTCTTTGATCACTTACCCACTTAGTGTAATCCCTCGTGCGTCTGTTGAGAGTGAATTTCGCCCCTGCTGCCATAAACAGCACCACAAACACCATCATCCCCACCGCTTTCGCCGAGCTCTTCAGCTTCCCTATGAAAATATCCCGCGCCAGGTCAACTGCCACGTCAGTAATAGCATCTCCTGACGCAGTGGCAGCAGAGCCAGTCACCCCCGCTGCTATCCCCCCGCTCCCAAACATCGCCGCCAGCTGTAGCTGCAAGAACCCAAACAAACTGGCGCCGCCCGGAGCGAAAAGACTCGCCCACGTGGCAGTGAGAACCGCGGCTATCTGCTTCGCTACAGCCGCTACAACCCAAACTACAGGCGTGAGCAGGGGTTTCGCCAGGGGCCACAAAACGGATCGGACTATAAAGAGTACGGCGGAGGAGGCCAGGAGGAGGGCGGCGGTGGACGAAGCGATGAGGGCAGAGAGGAAGGATTGGAGGATGGCTGCCAGGATGGAACATTCCAGGAAGATTCGCCCAGAGATGGTGGAGGCAGCTGGGAGGGGCTTAGCTGATGGCACCTCGACAAACGTCTGATGGGAGCGAAGGGGACGGCAAGGAGGAGATAAGGAGGAGAAAACTTTAGGGTTGACTCGGAAGGTCACCTCGCTGCTGGGAGGGGCTTAGCTGATGGCACCTCGACAAACGTCTGATGGGAGCGAAGGGGAAGAGTAGGAGGAGATAACGAGGAGAGGAGAAAAGGAGGAAAGCAGGAGGAGAGGAATAATGACGGGAGAAGTGGAAGAGGAAGAGAGAAAGAGATCGGTTGACATACCAAACAAGCATGCTGCATCTGCCTGCTGTCAACCATGCAGTTGACATGAATCGCAGGCCGCCAGCACTGATGGCAGTGACTGACTGCATAACCATGCCTAAAGCCGCCATGTTCACGACTCGTTCTAAGATTCACTATAACGTGTATATGTGAAAGCTCTTACCGAGTACACTGTCTCCACCTCCTTCTGTGGTCCCTTATAGGCCGCCAGCACTGCCGGCACGGACTGTGAGTCCACCTTGAGCCGCCTGCAGGGGGCAAGGAAGCGATTGCGGTAGGGAGGCGGGGGCGGGAAAGAGTAGAGGGAGATGGTGCAGTTAAAGCGGGCCCTAGGGCGACATTAGTCGGTAAGAGTCCACCTTGACCGCCTGCAAGGTGCAAGGAGAGGGGGTGTCGGGTAGGGGGGGAAGAGAAACACCTGGTGAGTACGGGTGAGGTGGCTCCCCCAGCACCTGCTTCAGCTGCACCAGCACGTCCCAGCACTCGAACCAGCACATCCGTGACCATCTAGTCGCCCGCGTTCCCCAGTCAACGGCACGCACAGCCCACACACACTCACCAGGTGTTGGTTTGAAGGGCAGGCTCCCCCGGGACCTCCTTCAGCTGCACCAGCACGTCCCAGTACTCGAACCTCCCATCACGCCTCTTCAACCCACGTGACGTCACCAGCGCCACCTGCCGCTTCCTGCCATTCTCCCCCTAAATAGAAAACCCATCCTTCACTCCCGTCACCTCACCCACACTCACCAGGTGTTGGTTTGAAGCCCGGGCTCCCCTGGGACCTGTTTCAGCTCCACCAGCACGTCCCAGTACTCGAACCTCCCAGCGCGCCTCTTCAGTGCACCCCATTGCACAAACAACGTTTACCCCACACACGCCCAACTCCAATCAACTGTACTCACCAGGTGTTGGTTTGAAGGGCAGGCTCCCCCGGGACCTCCTTCAGCTCCACCAGCACGTCCCAGTACTCAAACCTCCCATCGCGCCTCTTCAGCCCGCGCGACGTCACCAGCGCCACCTGCTTCTTCTCCGCAAAACCCAGAAACTCCGCCGCGCTCATGGGCGGAGCGTCCGCCAGCGCGCGCTCAAACGCGGTGGTTTCCACCACGCGCGGAGCAAACGCCTCCTCTGGAACCACCAGCTCCCCCTTAAACTCGCGCAGGAGATCTTTCAGGTATACTGGATTAGCCTGTTGAGTAGCATCAGCGCCTGAGGAAAATCCCTGTTGAGATTGTTTCCCTTCCTTTCCTTCCCTTCCCTCTGCTGCCACGCCCTCTTCGTCACTCCCTTCCTCAATAATCACCTCCTTATCCACCCCTCCTAAAACCTCCGCCAGCTTTCCCAAGGCCGCCTCACGAGCGCTTTCAATCCCTTCCTCTAGGGCGTTCAAGGCTCGGATGGGCGCAGGTACGGCCCGAGCCTCCGCCTCCTTGAGAGACATCAGCTGCCCGTTCACCCGAACCTGCGGCTCCACTCGGTTCGGCACCCGCTCCAGTAATTCGGTGATTGGATCCCAGTCCTTATCCACGTCAGCCGCTGCTGCTGCTGACGTGCCCTGAGACCGCTTCTTCGCCGCTTTCGCCTTCTTTGCCCCCCCAGCTGCTTTCCCTGTAGAGCCTGATGCTGAGCTGGCAGCTTTCGATTTGCTGCTACCTGCCTTCCACTGTGACGTGGACCCAGACGAGTCTCCCCCTCCCCCAGATGCACCTGCACCAGAAACCGCCGCAACTACACCCAAGGAACCAGCTCTTCTGAGCCCTCTACCCCTTCCGACACCCGCTCCTGCTCCTGCTACACCTGTGCCCTGAAATCCTCCTCCCAATCCTGTGCCTGGATGTAATCCCACACCTCTCCCTAGCTCTATCCTTCCTGGGACCCTTAGGCCCTGCCATCCCCACGGGTGGAGGGAGGAGGTTCGAAGGAAACTGGCAGACGCAGCAGTGGGAGACGCGGCTGCGGAAATGGTGGAGAGAGAAGGAGAGCACGTCCTCCCGCGACCGATGGACTGGAAAAGGGCAAAATTAAGGTAGGTGGGATCACTTGACAGGAGCGGAGCGGAGGGACATGAACATACAAAACATAGTAACTTGATCATCCCGACTTGCCCATCCCCATTCCTCTCCATCAATGACACGAAAATAGTGACAGGCAAAACGGAATAGCAGTCAACATCTAACGGATATGAGCGGAAAATGATTAAGTGCCTCTCTTGAACAGACCATCAGGATTCACCCATTTGACCCTATTATGAAGCCAAAGCGTACCTGGTGAATGGCCAATGGCTGCCGGCTTGCAGGCTGCTGCGCTACGTGCACACGAGCACAGGGGACGCGTCCAGGGACGACGCATCCTGTAACGCGTACAGGGGAGAAAAAAGCAGCGAGGAAAAATTATTGAGATTACAGCCAACTAACTGGTGACAGGCAGTACCGCATCGTGCAGAAATGATCGCAACACGGCGCACTCGCACTAGAGCACTCAACCATGCCAGTCTGTTCAACAGGCTTCTGAAGGTCCTGATAAACGGTAAATCCTAATAGACCTGAAAGAGCTTGATAATATGAAAGCCGAACGCATGAATTCCATGTGACATAAAAAACTCCAAGCAAATCGATCTTACAAATTGACACAAAAAACCGGGTAAGGTGATTGATTAAAAGTGGGCATACCGCATGGAGGCCGGGAAAGGGATGGTAGCGAAGCCTGCATGGTGACTTCTGCAGTATCAGTGAACGCAAAGTTTCTGCAACAAGGGTTCGAAACACCAGCACAGAAAACCCTAGCTGGTGATTCAGCACCAGTGTCAACTATGAAGAATGGTTCCTCAACGAACTGCACGAAATCGAAGTATGGGTAACTGGTATGGGTACGTGGCTGCGAAATCGCGGCAAACAGCGAACGGGAACTCACTGGCAACTAAAAGGCTAGGCCAAGAAGACTGGGATCGGGAAGTCGTGGCATCGACGGATTGGATCCGACGGTCGAGATCAGACGAACATCCGCGACCGCGGATACTGCGTGAGTTTCGAACGAAAAATACTAGTGAGCGCGATGCGAGCTCCTGGAAACCTGTGCCTGATCAGGTCGATGGGTGCACGCATACAGCAGTCTGCTCCCCCTGCTGACGAGTATCAGACACCTCAAGGACACACGTCCCTTGTCTGAAACGACATCGCATGCACGCTCGGCGTAACAGGTGTCAGGAAGAGGATAAGGACGCCGTAGCAGGACTAACAGGCTGGGCGAAAGGAAATACTAACATAACGGAGCCATAGTTTTGAAGTCTCGGCTGGTGTGACTGTAGCGTGACACGCTCGCTACAAGAACAGTCAACACAGCACATTTTCAGAAGTCAGCTGCAAGAATCGTCCCCACCCTCCTCCACCCCTTTCAAAGTTACACCCTGTTTCTCGACCCTCTCACCTTGCGCGATTCGCTGCTACAGTGCGGTCAGGTGCCATAAACCGTATGGCTGAAACCTGCGGGCAAAGCCGCACCAGCTGACGGAGTGGTACTGGGGGCAAAATTTTTCTTTATCGCTGTATACCCTTTTCAACCGCTTTGAAACGCTTGGTTAATGTTCTTTACCATGCAGCATCCTAGCTAACCGCTTTCTTGTGAATGTGCTTGTACCGTCGGTGATAAGACCATTTCAAACGTGGTGACGTTCTACAACCAGTGCATGTTCTGCAACCAGATGCTCTGCTAGCGCGAAACAGGGTGTAGCCCAAAACTTGAAACCTCGAAGTTGTCATGCTGAATCCCCTGATTGTCCAGAACAACTGTGAGGGAAGCAGTCAGCCGCACACAATCCCAGCCAACCACTCCCCTCACACCCTCTGGTGGACGCCACGTCACACCGCTGTGCTGGCGAGCCCAATGATCAGGCGGAAGCCTCAATTGGCTGGTTTCCTTTCTGGCTGGGGCCGAAATTCGGCCTTGTCACTCCGTTGAACGACGCGATTTGTCAGATAGTGTAGGTTAGAGGAAATACACACGGATGATAAACAGAAACCACAACAATCCAGAAAAAAAACAGTCTGATGGCCAATAAAACATATATCCGAATTTCTCAAAATTTACAAGCCATGATTGTGGTTTTAGTTAATCGAAATTATTATTCTCGTTATGTCACATATGTTATCCAATCACCAGTTTCAACTATGTTTTTTAGATGTACTTTGAAGGTACAGATAATTGCCATGTCGAGTATGTTTAGCCTCCTGAATTCTGCCGAAGCCGCCTGACAGATTTTCGAGTTCATCCATGGAGCCTCACAACACCCAAGCGGTGTCAGTTTCACCAGCTAGTTGTGCTATGCTGGAAGCTATTAGCGGCTCGATTTCCAGGCTCTACCTTCCCCTAGCTGCGCTCCCTCCAGCGTCTTAACGCCCGTTTCTGTTATCGCCGACGGCTCGTTTCACATTTATCTCCTTTCCTTGCTGTCGCCCTGTTTGCCCGATTCTTCGCTCGTTCGGATCCTTTTCCCTTGCCTTGCTGGCTTTGCAGTCACTTCGCCGACATCGTCTACGTTTCGCCGATTTCGCCTTCGTTTCGCTAATTTTGCCTTCGCCTCACCTGGCATGATGGTACCTCCTCACGTGAACTATCTGGCGTTGCACAATATCACATTGACTGTGCGATGCAGTCATTCCTTACTGTCACAGCCGGTAATGTCACGTTCCGTGCCATCCGCGTGTCGGTGGATTCGCGCCGTTGGTGCGCTTGGAATAAAGACACGGAAGAGGCTGTGTTTAAGGAGCACAGCAGCTCCCTCGTTGCATATAGGCTCCTAGTCGTAATTTCCTCAATGAAATAATTCTTCCTGACGAAATTTAGATGACTGGAAAGGACTAGCAACCACGTTATTTGCGAGCCTTATGTATCAGGGCCTTGTTCTCCCGCCAACCACCTGAAGATTCTCCTGGAAGCTGACATTCTAACTGTCAGCCTGGCAGCAGGACAGCCTGACAGCCAGCATCGTCCCTCCAGCGTCACCGTCACATGTGCACTTAGGCTTCGTAAATGTGACTCAGTTGCCAAAATCGTGATACTATCATCAATCAGTCGCCGACCAGCGTGCATATCATGATGCCGCAAGTCCAGCAGATCTCGCAACAACGCCACGAGGTGCGAGGCCGGCACGAGGTGCGAGGCCGGCACAATGGCCGTCAAAACGGACTGCAACGACATTGCGCCCTGGACCTCCTCATTCTCCTGCTTCTCGTTGCTGCACGGTCTCCTGCAGTGGTATCATCAGCAGCAGCGGCAGCACCAGCAGCGGCAGCAGGAGCAGCGGCAGCACCAGCAGCGGCGGCTGCAGGAGGTGAAACCCGTGAGAAGGCCGCTGAAGCCAGTGTGCCACCTCTCCAAGAGTGGGTTCTCCCTGCAAGAGCATCTGCGGTTGTCAAGAGTTCACATTTTGAAGAAACCGAGGGGATTCATGGCACAAGGGGGAATGATGCCAAGGGGGATTCTGACATCAGAGGGCTTCATCCTCCCAGTAGGGCTCATCACTCAAAAGTAATTCATCACAATCACACCAAGGGAGATCTTCACACTGTCGCAGGGAAGTTGAAACAACGGCTGAGTAGGAAGAGGCCACGTGGATGGCCGGCCATTAAGAAGAGGGCACGTGGATGGGCATGCATCAGAAAGAGGTCACGTGGATCCGGCCAACGTGCACGCGCCACGTCATCATTGGAATCAATTCTGCCACTGCTGCCACTGCAGAAGATACAGAGGGGCAGGGGGGAGTGTGGCAAGGGACGGAGGGAGAGGGGCGAGGGCGAGAGAAGCAGGGGTGGGAGGAAGAGTAAGGTCAGCATGGGGAAGAGAGACAGGAGGGTGGGAAGCGGACACAATTCATCAGCAAAACCACCTGCTCCAATCACTCCTGGTCAGAAGAAACCACCTGCTTTAAGAACACCTGGCCAGAAACCACCTGGACAGATACCACCTGCTCCTATTACTCCTGGTCAGAAACCACCTGGTCCGATCACACCTGGTCAGAAAGCACCTGCTCCTAGTACACCTGGTCAGAAAGCACCTGCTCCTAGTACACCTGGTCAGGAAGCACCTGCTCCTAGAACACCTGGTCAGAAAGCACCTGCTCCTAGTAAACCTGGTCAGAAAGCACCTGCTCCTAGTACACCTGGTCAGACATCACCTCATCCACTAACACCTGGCCAGAAACCTCCTCCTGGATCAAGACCACCTGCGAGCCCAGGTTCACCTGGAGGGTCACCAGACCGCCACGTCAGCATGCGGTCGAATCAAGGTGATCCGCAGCAGGCAGCAACAGGCAGCAGCAGCAGCAACACGTCTGTGACTCAGCCGGCAGACAAGACTACAGCTGTAGCGCCAATCTCGGCTGTAGCACCAACTCCAGCGGTAGCACCTGGCGGTGGTGGTGATTCTGCTGGTGCTGCCAGTGCTGCTGGTTTCCTCACCACCACAGCAGCAGCAACGTCGCCTGCTGCGCCCCCAGCTGCTTTCCCCCAGCAGCCCAAACCCAAGTACTTCTACGAGATGGGCAAGATCCGCGTGAGTAAGGGGGCGGGGGAGAGGGAGGGTGGAGGAATAAGGTAGGACAATATCTGCTGCTGCCTCTGCGCCCCCAGCTGCTTTTCCCCAGCTCCCCAAGCCCAAGTATTTCATCAAGATGGGCAAGATACGTGTGAGTGGGCAAATGGAGATTTGAGTGACTGTGATGTGAGGTTGGGTCCCGGCGTGAATGGGGAAGGATGGGGGCGTGTGTAGCTGCTGCTGATCTCCTTGTTCTGTGCTCCGTTCTGTCCTTCTCCTTGTTCTCCACCGTTCTGTCATCACCTTCCCCGCACCCCACCTGGTTTTTGAGAATTCTAAAAAACCAGCTTGAGAATTCCTAAAGAACCAGCTTGTATCGTTTGTAGATGCTGTTGATCTCCTTGTTTCTTGCTCTTGCACTCTTCTGTCATCACCTTCCCGCACCCCCCTCTCCCCCCCATAACGCCCACAGGTGTCAGGGATTCACACTGCTCTGACTCGCTATAAGATGATCCATTAGCTGCTTGTCTCTGCTACATGTAGCTCTTGACTAATGTGTTGCTCTCTGCTGCTCTGTTCTGTCTTCACCCTCTCAGGTGTCAGGCATTCACACTGCTCTGACTCACTATAAGACGATCCTTTATATTGACCGCACGGACGTCAGCAACACCTATGCCAAGCTCCCAAACGGAAGGGTAAGTGCCCTGCTCGTACCAGTTTTCCCTCTGAGTTGTTTCTTGTGCAGGGCAGAACTAACTAGCTCCACTCAGTGCCTTACAATGTCAAGGGACTCAAAATCGCATCAGTCAGACCCCTCAAAACTCACATCACAAGGTGGCTCGGATTTCTGAACGTGAGGTCTTATGTCTTCTTTTATTCCCCCATCTTTAACATTTCCGTTGGCCCCTGCACTCCCCGCTGATCACCACCCCTTCCCACCCCTTTCCTCTGTTTTAAACGGCTTATGCAGAGGAGAACAGCTTTGAAACGGGGTCACTCAGGGCTCTGGAGGTCAAGTCGAATGCTGTCTGCTCTTCCACCCCATTCCCACGTCCCACCCTTCCCCCCCCCCCCTCCTCCTCTTTCAGACTGCGTATGCAGAGAATTACAGCTTCGATACGGGGTCGCTCAGGGCTCTGGACGTCAAGTCGAAGATCTTCTGCTTCTCCCCCATCTGCTCCTTGCCACCCTACTTGTCCCGCCCTCTTCCCCTCACCCCCTTCCTCTCCTCTTTCAGACGGCTTATGCAGAGGAGTACAGCTTTGCAACGAGGTCGCTCAGGGCTCTGGACGTCAAGCCACCTGTCTGTCTGTCACTCATTTCATCCCCCTCTCCCCCCTCTCCCCTTCTCCTCTTTCAGACGGCTTATGCAGAGGAGTACAGCCATGAAACGAGGTCCCTCAGGGCTCTAGACATCAAAACACCTGTCTGTCACTCATATCCTAATCTGTCTCCCTCCCCCCTCCACCACCTTCCCCCTTTCAGACGGCTTATGCAGAGGAATACAGCTTTGCAACAGGGTCGCTCAGGGCGCTGGACGTCAAATCCAACGTCTTCTGCTCTGCGGGTATGTGTTGATCAATGCTGGTCAACGCTGGTCAATGATTGGTCAGTGCATGTGAAAGCTGGTCTGTGTTGGTGAACACTGGTCTTTTCTGGTCAAAGCTGGTCAATGCTGGTCGTCTTCCCCTCTTCTCCCCAACACCTCCAGGTGCCATACCCATACGGTCGGCTCATCAGCATCGGAGGCACATCAGACGCCAATGCCACCAACCTCTCCCTCGCCCCCCCAACCCTCTTCCCCCACCTCTCCAGGAGCCATTGATCCTTTGGGTCGCCTCATCAGCATCGGAGGCACATCAGACGCCAATACCACCAACCTGGCCGACCCTCTCCTGTGTGATGTTCACCTTCACGCCCCCCAAACCTTCCTCCTCCCCACCCTCCAGGAGCCATAGACCCATATGGTCGGCTGATCAGCATCGGAGGCACATCAGACGCCAATGCCACCAACCTGGCCGACCCTCTCCTCGACGGATCTGCCTCCATCCGCTCCTTCACCCCCTGCCCCCCTGCTACTGCTGCCCCCGCTGCTGCTGCTGCTAGTAGTGCCAATAGCAGCAGCAGCAACGGCGGCGGCAGCAGTAGCAGTGGGGGGTGTGATTTCTCCCTGGTGGGACAGATGACCTCCAAGCGGTGGTACCCCACGGCCCAGCTCTTACCAGACGGCCGCATCTTCATTGTGGGAGGGGCCAACGTGTTTGGCAACGTGGCGATCAATTCGGTTCAAAACAACAACCCCACCTTCGAGTTCTGGCCCAGGAAGGACGGAGAAGGTGAGGCGGATGCAGGGTTCTTCCATGGTCTAGTGCGGTTGTGTGGGGTTGAACGGGCTGTGTATGGCAGAAAGGGGTGGGGTGGGGAGAGAGAAGTGGCCTCCAAGCCAAGCGGTGGTACCCCACGGCCCAGCTCTTACCAGACGGCCGTATCTTCATTGTTGGTGGCGCCAATGTGTTTTGCAACGTGGCGATCAACTCAGTTCAAAACAACAACCCCACCTTCGAGTTCTGGCCCAGGAAGGACGGAGAAGGTGAGAGGTGTAGGGAGGTGTTTCCCTGCTTTGTGTGTGGCCGATTGGGTGCGGTTGTGTGTGGTTAGAGAGGGAAATGACCTCCAAGCGGTGGTACCCCGCGGCCCAGCTCTTACCAGACGGCCGTATCTTCATTGTGGGGGGTGCAAATGTGTTTGGCAACGTGGCGATCAACTCAGTTCCAAACAACAACACCACCTTCGAGTTCTGGCCCCGGAAAGACGGAGAGGGTGAGCTGTTAGGCAAAGTTGTGTCGGCACGGGCATTCCGCCTCCTCTGCTTCAGCCACATGCCTTACCCACGCCTTTCCCTTTCCTTCTCTTTTCCCACTGTCGCATTATCCGTGTCAGGATAGGGATGAGACACAACACAGCACCGCCTCCCCATGCCACTTTTGAGATGTCTCAAAAGTTATCCGTGCTGGGACAGGGATGAGACACAACACAACACCGCCTCTCCATGCCACTTAGGACTACAATACAAGCTGTTGGAAGAGACACTTCCCTACCATCTGTATTTGTGAAGCTGCTGCCTTTGGGCCACCTCTCCCTCCCACTCCCACCCCTTTCATTTCTCTTCCCGACCCTGTCACCACCCTCCAGGCAATCACAAGCTCCGTTTTCTAGAAGAAACACTACCCTACAATCTGTATCCGTTTGTGCACCTGCTGTCTCACTCTCTCCATCTTTCAACCCTTCCATTCCCCCGCCCCTCTCTCCATTGTTCACCTCCAGGCAACTACAAGCTTCGCTTTCTGGAAGAAACTTTGCCGTACAACCTGTACCCGTTTGTGCACCTGCTGCCTTCAGGGCATCTGTTCATATTCGCGGGGCAACGCGCAATCCTCCTCAACTACACCACCAACACGGTATGTGCCCAACCACGCTAAACCACACAGAACCACCGTGAACCACTCTGAATCTCACCAAAGCTCTGCACGGTGGGTGGTGTGTTATCCACTACCCTTTTGTGCACCTGCTGCCTTCGGGGCATCTGTTTATATTCGCGGGCAACGGGCTATCCTCCTCAACTACACCACCAACACGGTATGTGCCCAACCACGCTAAACCGCACAGAACCACCGTGAACCACTCTGAATCTCACCAAAGCTCTGCACGGTGGGTGGTGTGTTATCCACTACCCTTTTGTGCACCTGCTGCCTTCGGGGCATCTGTTTATATTCGCGGGCAACGGGCTATCCTCCTCAACTACACCACCAACATGGTACGAGTTCAATCGCATTGAACCGCACTGAATCACACTGGATCACACTGGACCACACTGGGCTACACTGGACCACACTGAACTACTCTGACTTTTGCTACAGTCCTCCACTGCGGGTGGTGTACGCCTATACTGGGTATGCCCCACCTCCCGTGCTAATCTAAGCTACCTTCTCTTTACCTCTCCTTCCTCTCTTCCTCCCTCCCATCTCTCCTAGGTGTATTGCACCGCACCCTTCCCCCTCTCGACGTTTCCCGCTTTGGCCCAGCCAAAACCAACATCTTCCACTCCTCCTCTCACCGCCTCTTCTGTCCTGTCCCTTGCCTCCCTCCCTCCCTTGTTCACCCTGACACCATCTGTGTATCCTCTTCCATCCCTTCAGGTGTACCGCACCCTTCCTCCTCTCGATGTCTCTCGCTTCGGCCCAGCCAACACCAACATCTTCCGCTCCTACCCTGTCACCGGCTCCTCAGCCATGCTACAGCTCTCCTCAGGTACTCTCCTCAATGACATTGAGTCAATGTCAACTGTACTTCTGCCTGTGCTACAGCCGGTCTTTAGAGTATGTTTGTGAGTCATCTCATGCCGCTCCTACCCTGTCACCGGCTCCTCAGCCATGCTACAGCTCTCCTCAGGTACTCTCCTCAATGTCAACTGTACTTCTGCCTGTGCTACAGCCGGTCTTTAGAGTATGTTTGTGAGTCATCTCATACCGCTCCTACCCTGTCACCGGCTCCTCAGCCATGCTACAGCTCTCTTCAAGCAATCGTGCCCGCTGCCGTGCTACAACTCTCCTCAGGTATTCCTGTCTCCTCTGCTACAGCCTTTGTACTGTATGGAATGAGGCGCCTCACACCGCGCCTACCCTGTCACTGGCTCCTCTACCATGCTACAGCTCTCCTCAGTTATTTCCCCTTCATGTCTGTGCTACAGCCTTTTTGTGCCACAACCATTCACCTTCTTCTCACAACGGCAACCAGGATTTTCATCTGTGGGGGCAGCAGCAGCGATGCAGATCTCACCAACGGGGACAACCACACGGGGGCGTGCCTTGGGTGTGCGGCCCGTGGGTCCGTACCTTACTCACTCCCTTCCCCTTCTTCCTCTACCCCTCTCCCCATCTCCCTCACTCCCATCCAGCTGACGGGTACACGCCCAGGATCCTTATTTGCGGGGGCAGCAGCAGCAAAGCTGACCTCCCTTGCACTGCTCATGCGTGTGGGGTGGGGCCACATGTGCTTCTCCCAATCACCACCATCTTTTCCTCTCCCATCTAGCTGACGGCTCCCATGTGTCACTTTCACCGTATGCGCTCCCCCTTTCCTCCTGGACCTGGAATGTCATTTGATTTCGGCCTGGAATCCAGCTGCCTTGTTTGGGATAGACAAAGCGATTCCAGGCATCATATATGCGCTTGTTGAGCTCTTTGAACTGCTTTGCATGTGGAGCTTGCGTTTGGCTTATGCTTGTGCTGAGCTCTCTGACCTACTTCGTCAGCTCAGCGCACGCATAAGCCAAACGAGAGCTCAGCATGCAAAGCAGTTCAAAGAGCTCAGCACGCGCATGAATGATGCCTGGAACCGCTTTGTCTGTCCCAAACAAGACAGCTGAAATCCAGGCGGCATGATGTCCTTCCAGGTCTTGGAAGAAAGGGGGAGCGCATACTGTGAAAGTGACACATAGGATTGGGAGAAGCACACATGGCCCGGCATGAATTGGGTGTGTGGGGCATGCGATATCCCATCCCCATCTCCATCTTCCCCATCTCCCCCTCGCCCATCCAGCTGACGGGTACACGCCCGGGATTCTCATCTGTGGAGGCAGCAGCAGCAGTGCAGACCTCACCAATCAGGACAACCGCACGGGGGCGTGACTTGGGCGTGTGCCTGCACACCTCTGCTCTCCTCATTCCTCTGTCTTCCCATCTCCCCTCCTCAGCTGACGGGTATACGCCCAGGATTCTCATCTGTGGCGGCAGCAGCAGCAACCAGGCGGACCTAACCAACCGGGACAACCGCACGGGGGCGTGCCTTGGGTGTGCTGCCCCTGAGTTTTGAGGTGTGTTCCCCCTGGGTCCGTGCAATACGAAACTCCCATCTCCCCCTCCCCCTCGTCCATCCAGCTGACGGGTACACGCCCGGGATTCTCATCTGTGGAGGCAGCAGCAGTCAGGCAGACCTCACCAACAGGGACAACTGCACGGGGGCGTGCCTTGGGTGTGTGACCGCTGCTGATGCCCACACTCATTGTTTCTCCTCATTCCCATGCTTTCTCCTCACCCGTCCAGCTGACGGGTACAAGCCCAGGATTCTCATCTGTGGCGGCAGCAGCAGCAGTGCAGACCTCACCAACCGGGACAACCGTACGGGGGCATGCCTTGGGTGTGCAGCCCCTGCCGCAGCCACGTGTGGGCTCATTGCGCCCATGGACGCCAACCCCACATGGAGTTATGAAATCATGCCTGTAGCACGGTGAGTGCACAAGCTTAGCAGCCCCCTCTTTGCTCTTCCTGGCCCCGTGCACGTTTCTTGGGTGCCTGCGAAAGTGCCTTGAGGTGCCTTGGGTGTGATGCCCCTGCCACAGCCACGTGTGGGCTCATTGCGCCCATGGATTTTAACCCCACATGGACCTACGAGATCATGCCTGTGGCACGGTGAGTCCCACGTCCCCCTGCCTGCCCTTGCTGGCTCCGTGAGTGCCCTGTGAGAACGGCAGCAAGGTCATGCATGAGTGCTGCCCCTGCCACAGCCACGTGTGGGCTCATTGGGCCCATGGACGCCAACCCAACATGGACCTACGAGACCATACCAGTTGCATGGTGAGTGCTGCTTGGCTGCCTGCCACAAGCAAGTGTGTGCATGTGTGAGTGTGCCATGCCTTGGGTGTGTGCTACCCCTGCCACAGCCACGTGTGGGCTCATTGCGCCTATGGACCCCAACCCTACATGGACCTACGAGATCACGCCCGTGGCTCGGTGAGAGGGTGCTTCAATTCCCCTAGTCATGTGTACACACGGACACATGCATTCATCCTCTCCTCCCCCTCCCACTTCCTCATGAAATGACTTGTGAGTCGTCTAGTCATGTGTACACACGGACACGTGCATTCGTCCTCTCCTCCCCCTCCCACTTCCTCACCCTTCCCCCGCCGCCTCTCCATCCGACCCTGAGCAGTGTTATGCCGGATGCCGTGCTCCTATTGGATGGCACGGTTCTGATCTGCAACGGAGGCAGGAGGGGCTTTCAGGGTCTGAAGCAAACGTATGCGGGAGGGGAAGTGAGGACACCTGTCATCTACACCCCCTCTAAGCCTCCTGGCAAGCGGTGGGTTGCTCTGATTCCACCCGCCGTTGCATTCGTATGTATGTACCACTCCTCTGCCTCGCCTCTGAATCCTACGGTGCTGACGAAGGCCTCGCGGCCGAAACGCGTACGCCTACGTTCTTTACTGAAGTTGGACTTACCAAGTCCCGATTCTACTTTTTTTCCCACTCCTAGTACTCCTAGTTGTTAGTTAGGAACTTTGAGGAGACCACTCCGCTTGCTGCGGTTCGAACCCACATCTTCCTGACAAGCGGTGGGTTGCTCTGAATCCACCCTCCGTTGCACTCGTATGTATGTACCACTCCTCTGCCCTGCTACTCTGCTGTCACGCTGCTCTGCTGCTCCGGGACTTGCCAACTCGAACCTCTTTCTATTCATGCCTCCTATACCCTGCACCCCAAAACCCCAAACAGCTTCTGGCAAGTTCCAAAGTCAAGAAGCTATGCCCGCATGTACCACTCCTCTGCTCTGCTGCTCATGTCTTGAAAACCTTTCCCCTCCCTGTTTCCTAAACCCTGAACCTTCAACCTTGAACTTCTAAACCCTCCACAGCTTCTGGCAGGTTCCAGAGTCAAGATGCTATGCCCGCATGTACCACTCCTCTGCTCTGCTGCTCTGCTCTCTGTCGCTCTGATTTATGTACCACTCTCCCGCCTCCCTTTTACAGCTTTTGGCAGGTCCCAGAGTCGAGTCGCTACGCTCGCATGTACCACTCCTCTGCTCTGCTGCTGTGGGACGGCTCGGTGCTGATTTCTGGGTCTAATCCCAACGACCGCCTCACTACTAGGGGAACTTACCCTACTCAATTCGCCGTTGACCGGTTTGCCCCATCGTATCTGCAGTGGGGGGTGCCGAGAAACGTGCTGTGGAAGGTGAGGGGGGGTTGTGGGAAATGGGGAACGCGGGAAGGGGAAGGGAGTGCAGTCAAGTCCGACTTTCAGTCTTGTCGCTTCTCTGCCTTTTCTTATCCACCCTAACTTCTAAGCAGCGCCCACCGTGTTGATGTGTACATTCCATTTCTCCGTCCCTTCACCTTATAACCTTCAGGTACCCTCAACCGTTACCTTGAACACTCTCTTCTCAGTCCGCCTCAATACAACTGTAGCAACTCCTCCATCGCTCCCGCGCCTTATCGATCGCTTCCGTGCCGTGCTTGTTCATCCCGGATTTTCAACACATAGCCAACGCATGGGTATGCGAAACGTGCGGCTTGACATATCCATGGTTTGGATTTCGCCGGACAATCGAACTGTTACAGCTGCGATAAGAGCGCCACCTAATAGCAGCATTGCACCACCGAGTATTTATTGGTTGCATATTCTAGATCAGGGTGGTTATCGCGATGCTTTTGGTGCATGGGTGCCGGGAAAGTGGGTTCCCAATTCGGAGGGCCAACCAGTGAGGCTTGTTTAGCGAAAGAGTTCAGCAGTGGAAATGAATATTCTGGCGCGGAATGCATATGCCATCTATAAAGCATTTATCTGCACCTGTACATTGTTCAGGTTGGGCTGTGCCATTGCTTGATTACCGCTTTATGAGTGTGTTTTGATCGCATGTTTACAGGCGATTAGAAAATGTTTCAGTTTATGAGTTTCCACTTCAGTCCGCGAATCACCCTATATCGCAGATCATAGTACTTCTCCCACCCGAGCCCTCCTTCCCTCCTCGCCACCTCCATTTTCGATCTGGCCTCTCGGCCAAATCCTTCACATCCTTCAAATCCGTCAAATCTGTCACTCATAGAATTCCCACCCCCCTAGGGATTCCTGACAGCCTGATCAACTTTTAGGAGATCGCTGTTCTTCCAGCAGCCGCAGCCATGGCGTCTCTAGGCGCATGCGCGTTCCGATTCGCGCGGCGCTTCGTGGTTTTCTCGCTGGTTCTGGCGTCTCTCGCGTGTATCGGTCAAGCGAGCGAAGATCTGGTCATCGTCAGGGTAGATCGTAAGGTGCGAACTGCTTGTTGACGAAAACTATTTGTTACAAATCTCTGGTCATTGTCAGGGCAGATCGAAGTGTTCGAGCCGCTCATTGTCGAAAAGATGGATTTACAGAATAGTAACGATCGATTTTCTGGTTAGTGTCAGGGCAGATTTTAAGGCGCGAACGGCAGATTGTATATTCACGGATTAGTGGACTTGCGCTTGGGCCTACGCAGCCATGCCGCTCGCTATTATCACTTTGTTTACAGGATCTGAATCTGTGTGATGTTGTGCGTTAGATCCGTGGTTTATTGTCGACCGTTAGATCTGAATTGTTATAATCCAACGGCCACGGCCACGGCCACATCGCTAGATCCATACCAGCAAGCATGCGACACAAGCTGTTTGCGGAAATGCTGCTTATGACGGTTCGATGCTCTTTATTACGCCATTTGTCGATTCCCGCGGACAGCACGACTGAATCCATATTACCACATGAATAGCTTTGGTTCTAGTTTCGAATTGTTCAATACATAATGTTTCCAGAATTGACACATCGCTTTTTCCTTTTTTTAAACGTGTTCTCTGTCGTCCGCGGCTCTACCCTCCCCTTGTTTCCCCCATGTTCTCTCTTATGCAGATCGACCTTCAGACCCATCTTGTCCGCAATTCCGCGACCCTCAAGGTAAGATAATTTCAGCCGATTTGAATTTTCTGCTTTGTGTGCAATGAGACACATTTAGTCCTGTAACAAAAGAAATTGTCTTCCGTCATGTAGATTCATTTTTTTCGGGTGATGCACTCTTTCTAGGTTAACTTGGCAGCAGGACGTTTTTTATTGGAGTGACACGAAGATGTTAGGGGGCAAGAGGTGTATACACGAATGTCGTCTTCAGGAATGTTCAGTTTTTTGCTACAAGCAGTACTTGTGCCGGAGTATGCGCGCATGTCTTAGGCGCGGATGTCTTAGCATGCACATATGTCAGCATTCGCGTATGTCTTCGCACGCGCGCATATCTTAGAAGGAGCGCATCTCTTAACATGCGCGCATGTTTCAATTGGTGCGCATGTACGGCAACAGCAGATGATGATGCTCATGTTGATTGCGCAAGGGCTCGGACACAACAGGGCGCTATCCGCGCCCTGCTGTCGTGGAGACACGCACATGCCATGAGGGTTCTGATGCTGATTGCCGAATTGCTCTGTTTTCGATGAGAGTGTGAGTATAGAGGCGTGTTCCTGCACGCATACCAGCAGGGCACTATCCGTGCATTGCTGTCGTGGAGACACGCACATGCCATGAGTATTCTGATGCTGAAATGCTGCTGAACCTGCGGGATGTTGTGTTCTTTTTTTCTGAGTTCTACATTCCAAGCTCTCTCAAAATGCTTTAGCCCGCTTGCCCTTCCTCCTGCCTTTTCTTGTGCCGCATCCTTCCCCTTACCCGATTTTGTCTATTCTGTCCCTTCTTTTCTATTTTTGTCACCTACAGGTGGAGAACGCGGGCTCGACACCTGTCTCTTCGGTCACCCTCGCGCTGCTCGTCCCGCCGCCCGGCCGCCTCGCCTTCGCCACAGCCGTTCTCCTTCAGGGCAAGGCCAAGAGCCGCACCTTCCAGGAACTTCCCCTCACTTCCACCACCCCGGACTCCCCGGTCGAAAACGCGATCTACTTTAAAGCCCAGCTGCCCGCGCCGCTAGAACCCGGGAAAACCGCGCAGATAGAGTGTTACTTCGTGGTGATTAACGCCCTCACGCCTCACCCAGCGGCAATCTCCCAGGCTGACCCGCAGCTGGTGATTTTCCACGACTCGCACTACTTCACCTCTCCGTACCCCGTCCGATCGCAGAGCACCGTTCTCCGCCTCCCCAGCCACCAGATCGAGTCGTTCACGCCGCTGGAACCTTCCAAGAAGGCGGACTCGGAGATCAAGTTGGGACCGTATGAGGGTGTGGAGGCCGGAGCGGTGTCGGCGCTAGCGGTGCACTATGAGAACAACCGGCCGTTCCCGCTGTTTGAGCGCGCTGAACGGGAGTACGAGATCTCGCACTGGGGGAATGTGTATGTGACGGAGGACTATCACCTGGTGCACTCGGGGGCGAAACACACGGGCATGTTCTCCCGGTGAGTGCTGTGTGGTGGTAGGGATGCATGTAGGGGTATGAGTCTTAAGGCAAGAAAGACACAGCACGGAAGAATGGGGGTATGAGGGGGAGTAGGAGGCTTCTCACTGGGGGAATGTGTATGTGACGGAGGACTACCACCTGGTGCACTCGGGCGCGAAACACACTGGCATGTTCTCTCGGTGAGGGCTGAATGAAGATGGGAATGCAGGTAAAGGAATGGGTTTTCTGGCAAGGAAGAGATGAAGGGCGGATCGGGAGTACGAGATCTTGCTCTGGGGGATTGTATGTGTGACGGAGGACTACCACGTGGTGCACTCGGGTGCCAAGCACACGGGCCTGTTCTCACGGTAAGAAGCGCAGAGAGGCGTCAAAACAGGTGCTAACTGAAAAAAGAGCAGCTGATGGTGAGGGTTCTGGAGTTGCAGAGTCTGATTGGCAGAGGCGCGAAACGAAAAGGTAGCGTTTTCTGGTGCGTTTTCGTTTTGTGCCTCCTCCAGCCAACTTTCCAACTCGGCAACCCTCGTCACCAGATGCTCCGTTTCAGTCAGCGCCTGCGTCACCTTAAGCAGTGCTTGTTCGCGACCCCTAGCCTGTTGGAGTAACTCGCGCTTCAGCTGCCATACAGTTCTTGCCAGGGCCTTGCATGCGCCTGACATGGTCATAAAAGTCTTCAATCCTGCTTCCCTCCCTTCCCCCTTTCACTCCACCTGCACCCCTCCCTTTCCCCATCATTCCTCCTGCTCCCTTTCCCCCCTACCCTCCTCCTGCTTCCATGGCTTCCAGTCTGGACTACCAGCATTGCCCTATGGCCATCGGCGTCCCGTCTCTGCGCCAACTGATCTGCCTCACGTTGCTAAACTGAATTACCCCTCCCTCTCCACCTCCACTCCTCCTGCCCCCTTCTTCCTCCTTTCCTCCTGTTGTTCCCATCTATTCCAGTCTGGACTACCAGCACCGGCCCATGGCCATCGGCGTGTCGTCCCTGCGCGGACTCATGGCAGTGCTGCCGGAGAGGGGCACACGGGACTTCACCCAATTCTTACAGTTCCTACTCCTGTCACACCCCTCCCCCCTCCCGTTCCCCCTTTTCCCCTCCAACACTCCTGGTTTTCCCGTATACTCCAGTCTGGACTACCAGCACCGGCCCATGGCCATTGGCGTTTCTTCCCTGCGCGGACTCATGGCAGTGCTGCCGGAGAGGGCGCACACGGTGTATTACAGGGACGAGATCGGGAACATCTCCTCCTCGCACCTCCGATACCCGCCCAGAAAGGTGTGCAGTGTGGTGCTGGTGGGTGCTAGTGGGTGTTAGTGCGGTGCTGGTGGGTGGTGGGGGCTTCATGGCAGTGCTGCCGGAGAGGGCGCACATGGTGTATTACAGGGACGAGATCGGGAATATCTCCTCCTCGCACCTCCGATACCCCTTCAGAAAGGTGTGCAGTGCGGTGCTGGTGGTGCTGGTGGGTGCTAGTGGGTGTTAGCGCGGTGCTGGTGGGTGCTGATGGGGTACTAGTGGGTGCTGGGTGGGTGCTACTAGTGGGTGCCATAATATGATGTCCTCTTTTCGTGTTCACACCCACCTCATCTCAACTCAACCTCTATCCCTACCCATGCGCCTGCGTATGCCGAAACCCCTCCTCCCTTACCCATGCGCCTGTCAATCCCACACGTTTTTCTCTACCTGTATCCTCCAACACTGGCACATCTAATCCCAAATACCCATCCCTCTCCCGAACCTCCGTTCCCTGAACCTCAGGCCGAGCTGGAGATCGAGCCTCGGTACCCGCTCCTGGGCGGGTGGTCCGTGACGTTCCGAGTGGGGTACAGCGTGCCTCTGGGCGACCTGGTCTCCATCAGCACAGACGGCACTCGCATGCTCAACGCCACCCTCGGCAGCCCCTTTGCTGACGTGCCCGTCAAGCACCTCACTGTGAAGGTGAGATTCTGGGAGTTTCATTGAGAAAGGGGCAGCAGGGGAGGGGGAGCAAGGGAGGGGCAGCAGGGGAGGCGCACCAAGGGAGGGGCAGCAGGGGAGGGGCAGCAAGGGGTGGGGGTGTTGGTTGGGTGGGTGGTGGGTGGGAGGAGAGGCGTTTCGAGTGGGGCAGAGCTTTTGCGCCAAAGCTCATGCCTTGTGCCCTCCGTCATCTCCATTTTTGAGTCGACTCAAAAATAGTCTCCATTTCTTAGTCGAGTCAACCATCGACTCACTTTTGCGCCAAAGCTCATGCCTTATACCCTCCGCCATCTCCCTTCCTTGAGTACATCGTCCTCCTCCCTGCCTCCCATAGGGCGGCATCCCTGCAGCTGATGTTCATGCCCTCTTTCGCCTCCATAATGTGCTCTTACTTCCTCCATCCCTCCTCCCGGCCTTCCCTCCCGACCCTCCCGTTTTCGTCCATATTCGTTTCAAAAATCAGGTGGTGCTTCCAGAGGGATCCTATGGCATCTCTGCGGATGTGCCCTTCCCCGTGGGCAAGAGCACCGAGGTGAGAGCGAACTTTTGAGTCGACTCAAAAGTCACCTAGGGTTCATATGGCATTTCTGCGGATGTGCCCTTCCCCGTGGGCAAGAGCACCGAGGTGAGAGCAGGGGCGTGATAAGCATGGGGGCATTGGGGCATTGGAGTATGTGGGAGTGTGGGGGTATGGAGGTATGGAGGGTTCATATGGCATTTCTGCGGATGTGCCCTTCCCCGTGGGCACGAGCACCGAGGTGAGAGCGAACTTTTGAGTCGACTCGAAAGTCACCTAGGGTTCATTTGGCATTTCTGCGGATGTGCCCTTCCCCGTGGGCAAGAGCACCGAGGTGAGAGCAGGAGCGTGATAAGCATGGGGGCATTGGGGCATTGGAGTATGTGGGAGTATGGGGTTTTGGAGGTATGGAGGGTTCATATGGCATTTCTGCGGATGTGCCCTTCCCCGTGGGCACGAGCACCGAGGTGAGAGCGAACTTTTGAGTCGACTCAAAAGTCACCTAGGGTTCATATGGCATTTCTGCGGATGTGCCCTTCCCTGTGGGCAAGAGCACCGAGGTGAGAGCAGGGGCGTGATAAGCATGGGGGCATTGGGGCATTGGAGTATGTGGGAGTGTGGGGGTATGGAGGTATGGGGGCATGCGCGTGAGGGGAGGGTTCATATGGCAATTTTTGCGGATGTGCCCTTCCCTGTGGGCAAGAGCACCAAGGTGAGAGCATGGGTGGGGTGTGAGAAGGTAGGGGAAGGTGAAGGGGGGGATAGGTCAAGGTAGGGGTAGGTGAAGGGGGGGATAGGTCAAGGTAGGGGAAGGTGAAGGGGGGGATAGGTCAGGTAGGGGTAGGTGAAGGGGGGGATAGGTCAAGGTAGGGGTAGGTGAAGGGGGGGATAGGTCAAGGTAGGGGTAGGTGAAGGGGGGGATAGGTCAAGGTAGGGGTAGGTGAAGGGGGGGATAGGTCAAGGTAGGGGTAGGTGAAGGGGGGGATAGGTCAAGGTAGGGGTAGGTGAAGGGGGGGATAGGTCAAGGTAGGGGTAGGTGAAGGGGGGGATAGGTCAAGGTAGGGGTAGGTGAAGGGGGGATAGGTCAAGGTAGGGGTAGGTGAAGGGGGGGATAGGTCAAGGTAGGGGTAGGTGAAGGGGGGGATAGGTCAAGGTAGGGGTAGGTGAAGGGGGGGATAGGTCAAGGTAGGGGTAGGTGAAGGGGGGGATAGGTCAAGGTAGGGGTAGGTGAAGGGGGGGATAGGTCAAGGTAGGGGTAGGTGAAGGGGGGGATAGGTCAAGGTAGGGGTAGGTGAAGGGGGGGATAGGTCAAGGTAGGGGTAGGTGAAGGGGGGGATAGGTCAAGGTAGGGGTAGGTGAAGGGGGGGATAGGTCAAGGTAGGGGTAGGTGAAGGGGGGGATAGGTCAAGGTAGGGGTAGGTGAAGGGGGGGATAGGTCAAGGTAGGGGTAGGTGAAGGGGGGGATAGGTCAAGGTAGGGGTAGGTGAAGGGGGGGATAGGTCAAGGTAGGGGTAGGTGAAGGGGGGGATAGGTCAAGGTAGGGGTAGGTGAAGGGGGGGATAGGTCAAGGTAGGGGTAGGTGAAGGGGGGGATAGGTCAAGGTAGGGGTAGGTGAAGGGGGGGATAGGTCAAGGTAGGGGTAGGTGAAGGGGGGGATAGGTCAAGGTAGGGGTAGGTGAAGGGGGGGATAGGTCAAGGTAGGGGTAGGTGAAGGGGGGATAGGTAGGGGTAGGTGAAGGGGGGATAGGTCAAGGTAGGGGTAGGTGAAGGGGGGGATAGGTCAAGGTAGGGGTAGGTGAAGGGGGGGACAGGTGAAGCATGGGCATGGGGGCATGGGGGCCTAAGGAGTGGTGCTGGTTTATTGTAATGGCTCACTGATTCTTTCTCATCCCATTCTGTTCCTCCCATCCGTCTCCATGCCTCCCCATCTCTTCCCATACATTCCCATCCCTTCCCATCCCTTTCCATCCCTTCTACCTGCCTGCAGACCAAGTACTCATACCTGGACACGGTGGGGCGCCCTGTGGTGGTGCTGGATAAGAGGGACGTGGTGCCGGAGCAGGGAATCATGCACTTCCAGGTGGGTTGAGTGAGAATGGACATGTCAAGTCACTGCTTCTCACACCGTCCGGATGAGTGGTCCCTTGCGTGGTGGTGCTGGATACGAGGGGCGTGGTGCCGGAGCAGGGGATCATGCACTTCCAGGTGGGTGAAACGTTTGAGCCCTGTGCTGCATAGCACAGGCTGCACGTTTGAGCCCTGTGCTGCATAGCACAGGTTGCACGTTTGAGCCCTGTGCTGCATAGCACAGGTTGCACGTTTGAGCCCTGTGCTGCATAGCACAGGCTGCACGTTTGAGCCCTGTGCTGCATAGCACAGGTTGCACGTTTGAGCCCTGTGCTGCATAGCACAGGTTGCACGTTTGAGCCCTGTGCTGCATAGCACAGGCTGCACGTTTGAGCCCTGTGCTGCATAGCACAGGTTGCACGTTTGAGCCCTGTGCTGCATAGCACAGGTTGCACGTTTGAGCCCTGTGCTGCATAGCACAGGCTGCACGTTTGAGCCCTGTGCTGCATAGCACAGGTTGCACGTTTGAGCCCTGTGCTGCATAGCCAAGTTGCACGTTTGAGCCCTGTGCTGCATAGCACAGGTTCCACGTTTGAGCCCTGTGCTGCATAGCACAGGTTGCACGTTTGAGCCCTGTGCTGCATAGCACAGGTTGCCAGCCCGTGCACTAGTGTCCGAATGAGCTGTGGTGGTGCTGGATAAGAGGGACGTGGTGCCGGAGCAGGGGATCATGCACTTCCAGGTGGGTGTGCTCTGCTTGTGTGCCCAGAGGAAAGAACTTGAATACCAGTTGGGTGTGGGAAAATGGTCTGTGTAAGCACCCCTGGAAGTCAAACAGACAAGGGAGCAACAAGCATAACATCAAACAAACAGCGAAATAAACAAACAAAGCAATGTACAGATGGTTTTGTTTTTAAACCCTCTTTCACAGGTTTCTTTGTTTTCATGGCTGTGTCTCATTTTACATGTGACATGTCCCCCCCCATCAGGTGAAGTACAAATTCTCAAAGGTCGCTCTCCTGACCGAACCCCTTTCCGTGTGACCTGCCCTGTCCACCTTCCATGCCCTGCTCCGCCCCGCCCCGCCCCGCCCCGCCCCGCTTCGCCCTTCCCTGCCCTGCTCTGCCTTTCCCCCCTCCCCCCATCAGGTGAAGTACAAGTTCTCAAAGGTGGCCCTCCTGACCGAGCCGCTGCTCCTCATCCTCTTCTTCCTCTTCTTCCTCTTCTTCCTCTTCTTCCTCCTCTTCCTCCTCTTCCTCCTCTTCCTCCTCTTCCTCCTCTTCCTCCTCTTCCTCCTCTTCCTCCTCATCCTCTTCTTCCTCCTCTTCCTCCTCTTCCTCCTCATCCTCTTCTTCCTCCTCTTCCTCCTCTTCCTCCTCTTCCTCCTCTTCCTCCTCTTCTCCTCTTCCTCCTCTTCCTCCTCATCCTCTTCTTCCTCCTCTTCCTCCTCTTCCTCCTCATCCTCTTCTTCCTCCTCTTCCTCCTCTTCCTCCTCTTCCTCCTCTTCCTCCTCTTCCTCCTCATCCTCTTCTTCCTCTTCTTCCTCCTCTTCATCGCCTACACCCACTCCAATCTCATTATCTCCAAAACCGCCCCTCTTTCCCTCTCCCCCTTCCCTTCCCTCCCTTGCCCTGCCCTGCCCTGCCCTGCTCTGCCTTTTCGCCCCTCCCCCCATCAGGTGAAGTACAAGTTCTCCAAGGTGGCTCTCCTCACCGAGCCACTCCTCCTCATCCTCTTCTTCTTTCTCCTCTTCCTCCTCTTCATCGCCTACACACACTCCGATCTCACCATCTCCAAAACCGCCCCCGCCTACCTCGCCAAACTCCACCACGAGGAGTTTCTCGATCTCATCCAACGGCTCTCGCGCCTCGTGGCCGATCGTGCGGCCCAGATCGAGTCTCTGGACGCAGGGCTGCTGAAGCTGGGGAGGAGTGGGGATGTGGCAGGGGCGAAGGCGGGGAGGAGGAATGTCGAGGCTGAGTTGAAGGAGAGTGGGAGGGAGATCGCGTCTGTCGTGGGGAAGATCGAGGCTCTCCCCAAGGTCCCTGCTGGTCCTCTGCGCACTGTAAGTCCTCAACCATCATCCGACTTCCTTGTCGCAAGGCCCCCATCTCCCTACCTACCCCTCGCTCCTGCGTACTTTCTTGAGGGAGATTGCGTCTGTGGTGGGAAAGATCGAGGCCCTTTCTAAGGTTCCTGCTGGTCCACTGCGCACTGTAAGTACTCCTTATCCCCCCTCCTTCCTCTTGCAAGCTTCCCACCTCGCTATCCTACTTTACCCACGTCCCATCATCCCTCCTCCTTGGGAGGGAGATCGCGTCTGTGGTGGGGAAGGTCGAGGTTCTTTCCAAGGTTCCTGCTGGCCCCTTGCGCACTGTAAGTCCTACTTCTCTTCCTTTTTTTTTAGCTGAGTATTGAGTCGAGGGGCGGGGGAGGAGGGCGGTGGAGGGGTAGTTGAAGGAGAGTGGGAGGGAGATTGCTTCTGTGGTGGGGAAGATCTAGGTTATTTCCAAGGTTCCTGCCGGTCCCCTGCGCACGGTAAGTCTTGTTCTCTTACCCTTGCTGAGCTGAAGGGGAGTGGGAAGGAGATAGCGTCTGTGGTGGGGAAGATTTAGGTTCTTTCCAAGGTTCCTGCCGGTCCCTTGCGCACTGAAAGTCCGCTTCCTCGCTTCCCTTTCCCCCCGTTTCCACTCTTTCCATCTTACTTGTTGCACCCATCTTGTTTTGAGTCGACTCAAAACAACGCTTCCTCGCTTCCCTTTCCCCCAGTTTCCACTCTTTCCGTCTTACTTGTTGCAACCAGGTGTATTTTAGAGGTGCCTCAAAATATCCGCTTCCTCCCTTCCCTATCCCCCCGTTTTCCACTCTTTCCATCTTACTTGTTGCACCCATCTTGGTCCCCCAAGGTTCAAGACTTGGTTGCGAAGGAAAAGCAAGGTGCAGAGAGGACGGTGGCGGAGCATACGGTGGCAGTGGAGCCATAGGAGAAGAAGACCCCCGCCAAAGATGCCTCCACTGCCACCGTGTGCTTTACTCACACTTCCTCTCCCCCCTCCCCTGCTCTTTCTGCCCTCCGTTCCTCCAGGTGCAAACCCTGGTTGCAAAGGAGAGGGAACGTGCGGAAAGGGCCGTGGCGAAGCACACGGTGGCAATGGAGGCATACGAGAAGAAGACCCCCGCCAAGGAGACTGATGCAAGCTCTACTCACTATTTCCCTTACTCTCTCTCCTCTCTTGTTTTTCTTTCCACCCTGCGTTCCCCCAGGTGCAAACCCTGGTTGCAAAGGAGAAGGAGCGCGCAGAGAGGGCGGTGGCGAAGCACACTGTAGCGGTGGAGGCATACGAAAAGAAGACTTCTGCCAAGGAGATCGACGCTAAGATCGGCCCGATGCAGCAGCGACTGGCGGCTCTGAAAGCAGAGATCAAGGAGCTGGTGATGGCTCTGGAGGAGTGAAGGGTGTGAGGAGAGGGAGATGGGTGGTTTGGGGTGGGGGAGTGAATGGGAGGGGTATGGAGGGGGAAAGTGCGATGCAGCAGCGTTAGGCGGCTCTGAAAGGGGAGATGAAGGAATTGGTGATGGCTCTGGAGGAGTGAAGGGTGTGAGGAGAGAGAGATGGGTGGTTAGGGGTGGGAAGTGAATGAGAGGACTATCGAGGGGGGAAGTGTGATGCAGCAGCAAGCGGCAACGGTACGGTACACAATGGCAAGACTGAGCTGATGCATCGGTGCCTGGGGTTTGTGCTGGCAGAGATGACTTGCATTTGGGATAGGATTGGAAGGATATAAAGGCAATGTGATATTGGAGGTGAGTGTGTGTGAATGACCCACTCATTCTACGTATGATGTATGTGGGCCACTCGCAAGAAGTTACACGCTTGATAATTAGGGAAAAGATTAGTGTTAGGCCCGACGGCCTAAGTCCGCTAAAGAATTAGCGGGGTCGACTAAGTCGAGGATGAAACGCGGCGGAAGACTTTGGCGAAAGAACTATTGGCGAAATAGGCGAAGAAGTTACTGAGTAATTGAAGAAGAGTTGAATGAGAATTGGTTGATAATGTCAAGTACAAGCAAGGTTTATATACCGTAATCTCCCGGACAAAACACCCCCCCATGATAGTACACCCCCGGGTAGCTTGTGCGGGGTGGGTGCTATGGGCGACCTCGTTTCTACTATACCCCCCTTTTTGGATGATTTTCTATAACACCCCCCTTTTCTTACGGATTCCTATTATAGTTGTTATCGAGTCTGATTCCTTACAGGGGAATATCGCGAGAATTGCTTCCTAAATGAAATTTCGCGCGTACTTGCACTTAGAATCCGCCAACATTTCCCCCTCCCACAATCTCACTGTCGCCACCCTGGCGAATCTTTCGCTGCTAGTGGACATTTCCCCCATCCCACATTCTAGGAAGTTGCCACGCTGGCGAATCTTCCGCTGCAAGTGGCCCGAAAGGTGAAACTCACATTCTTGCCAAAACTCACATTCTCGCCTCAAACTGTGATGTTAAAACGACCATTGAAACACCCAAACTGTCTAATTTGAGAATCCTCTTGCATTAAAATATACCATATATAACCACCCGGGTATTATATAGGATTTTCCGTTGAGAGGACCCCCCCCCTTTTTTCCCTGTGGTTATCATAATACCCCCGGGTGTTATGTCCGGGAGAATACGGTAGCATGCAAGAAACAAGGTTGGAAAGTGGAATGTGGGACCAAGAATTGGAGTGCAAGAAAAGTAGAGTGCCACGTGGCACTAGAGAATCTGAGAAGATAAGGATAATGGTGACTAGGAATGTACTGTTCGGAATGAACAGTAAACACCCCTCTAACACTACCCCCCGCCCAAGGAGGCGACGTCCGCGGCACCTGCAGACTGAAGGTACGCTTGGAGGCAAGCGTTGTCAGGAGACAGCGAGGACGAAGGAACCCAGCTGTCGTCTGCTGCGTCGTAACCACGCCAACGAACCAAGAAGTCGATGAAAGTGACACCCCCCTGGAGACGGCGACGGTGCCTGAGGATGCGCTGGATCCGGTAGTCGGGCTCGTCGGTGTCAACAGCTACCGGCAGTGGAGTGCGATCACGGCCCGAGAAGGTGGCATTGGGATCGGTGTATGGGCGAAGGAGAGACACGTGGAATGACGGGTGCATGCGGAAATGTGCGGGAAGGCGAAGGCGGTATGCGACTGGACCTAGTGCGCGCTCAATGACGAATGGACCAATGAAACGTGGACGAAGCTTGCTGTCCTGTGGCAGTCGGAGGTTGCGGCTATCCAAGAGAACACGGTCGCCGACTGCGAACGACACCTCGCGACGACTGCGGTTGGTGGTGCGTGCCATGCGTGCATTTGCGAGCTCAAGGTGCTTCCTCACGTGATCATGAATGAAGGTGAGATGCTGGTGGAAGTTGTCCGCACGAGGGACTGTGGGTGTGAGATCGACACGAGTGGGGACATTGGGGTGCTGACCGTAAAGTGCAAAGAACGGTGACATGCCTGTGGCGGAGTGGTGCGTGTTGTTGTAGGCGAACTCTGCCATGCTCAGCTTCTTGTCCCATGCGGCTGCGTCGTGCATCGTGATGCTGCGAAGGATCTGCTCCAAGGTCTGGTTCACACGCTCGGTCTGTCCGTCTGTCTCTGGGTGGTACGCAGACGACATGGCTAAGCGAGTCCCAAACAGTGCGAAAAGCTGTTTCCAGAACTTTGAAGTGAAACGAGGGTCGCGGTCTGAGATGATGGAATCTGGAACCCCGTGCAGTCGGACTACGTTATCTACGAACAGCGTCGCGGCTTCCTCTGCTGTGACCTTGCCGTGCGTGGGGATGAAATGCGCTGCTCGAGAAAACTTATCCACTACTACGAAGATGGCGTCGTGACCCCTAACTGTGCGCGGTAAAGCCATGATGAAGTCCATGGTAACTACCTGCCAAGGGCGGTCGGGCGGTGGAATCGGCTGCAAGAGTCCTGCTTTGCGCTGGCGAGAGGACTTCGTACGCTGACACGTGTCGCACGAGCGAATGTAATCCTCTACGTCTGCTGCAAGCCCGGGCCAGTAGTACGTGCGACTAAGCGTCTTAGCCGTCTTATCTGCTCCGAAGTGCCCTGCACTAACTACGTCGTGCGCCTCTGAGAGAAGGAGCTGTCGAAGAGGGCGGTAGGCTGGAACCCAAATCCGTGTGGTACCCTTCCGTATGTAGACACTACCCTGCACCTCTGCTCCTGCGGGCGGCTGCGGTGTGAAGTCGGGATCTACTGTGTAACCGTGCTCGAAGAGTGCTGTGAGAAGTGGGTGGCCAGCAGTGACTGTGAGACTGGCGAGCTGACAACTAGGGCGAGTGAGCGGATCTGCTGGGTTGCGCACGCCTGGCTTGTACTCTATCCTGTAGTGAAAGCTCCCTTCCATGAACTCCATCCACCTAGCCTGGCGACGACTCAGCTGCGGCTGCGACTTGAGGAAACGAAGCGAACAGTGGTCCGTGCGTATAACACTATCTGCCCCCTCTAGGTAGCACCTCCACACCTTATACGCATGGATGATCGCGAGCGCCTCCTTGTCGTGTATGGGATAGTTCAACTCCGCTCCCCTAAGCTTACGCGACTCGTACGAGATCGGCTGCAACCCGCGTCCCTGGTTTTGAAGAAGCACTGCTCCTATGGCCTGATCGGAAGCGTCGGTCACTACAACGTATGGGCGAGTGGGATCAGGGTACGACAGTGTCGGTGAGGACGTGAGCGACTGCTTCATCTGCTCGAACGCCTGCTGCTGCGCTGGACCCCAAACGTACTCTACGCCCTTCCGAAGTAGGTCGGTGAGTGGACTAGCGATCGATGCGTAACCCTGAACGAAACGACGGTAGTAGTTCGCGAAACCGAGGAAGCTCTGCAACTCCTTGACTGAGGTCGGTGCTACCCAATCCTGTACTGCTGCGATCTTCTTCGGGTCAGTCCTAATGCCACTAGCGGATACGACGTGTCCTAGGAACTCGACCTCTGGAAGGAAGAACTCGCACTTCGACTGCTTAGCGTATAACTGCTCCCTCCGTAAGACCTCGAAGACCTTCTGCAAGTGCTGCACGTGCTCATCTTTTGTATTAGAGAACACTAGGATGTCGTCTAGGTAAACGACAACGAACGACCCTAGGAACTCGGAGAGGACTGTGTTCATGAGCGTCTGAAACGTCGCTGGGGCGTTGGTCAATCCGAACGGTAGAACCCTAAACTCGTACAACCCCTGCTTCGTACGAAACGCCGTCTTGTGCTGGTCCTCTGGAACTACTCGAATCTGGTGGTAACCCGAACGAAGGTCGATCTTTGAGAAGACTCTAGCGCCCTGCACTGCATCGAGAAGATCCTCTACTCTCGGCACCGGGAATCTATTCTTGACGGTGGCGGCGTTCAGTGCGCGGTAATCTATGCACATCCGTAACCCTCCGTCTTTCTTGGGTGCGAAAAGTATCGGTGCGGCCCAAGGCGATCTAGATGGCTGTATGAAACCCTGTGCGAGAAAGTGCCTAACTTGCTGCGTCATCTCCTCTGTCTCCGCTGGACTCAACCTCCACTGCGGCTTCGCTACTGGCCTGCTCCCCGGCTCCAATTCTATTCGATGGTCTACTGCTCGGCTGGGAGGCAACCCTGGGGGCAACTCGTCGGGGAAGACGTCTGCGAACTCTGCTAACAGTGCACTCACCTCAGCAGGAAGAGTCGCCTTCTCACTAACTGCTGCACTCCCTCCTTTCCCCTCCTCAGCTTCCACCTCCTCAAGAAAAACCGCGAAGATCCGTGCCGCACGCTTCACTAACTGTCGCACACGAACAGCATTAATGATAGCTGTGGATGATGTGGCCCCATCGCTCCACTGTGGCAGCTCCCGGAACTCCCCGTCTACCTTGACGCTGCAGCTTCCCTGAGCCCAATCGAACTGAGTACTAACCGTCCGTAGCCAATCTCTCCCGAAGATAAAATCGTATCCGTCCAGCGTCGCAGAGTCGAAATCACGCCTGACTGTGATCGGTCCTAGCACTACGCGCAACTTGCGGATGATCGGTCCTATGTGAAGTGGCGTCCCATCTACCATGCGAGCGTCCTTGAAGTTGACTGCTGAATCTGCTTCGAGATGGAGACGAGAAACTAACGATGAAGAGACGAACGAGTGGCTAGCTCCGCTATCTACGAGAATCTTAACAGGAACTCCGCGAAGCTTCCCTAGAAGCACGACTGGACGATCAACAGTGTCTACCTCGTTCTCCGTAGATGACTGCTGCAAAGCCGTCTCCTCTACGTTGGTAGACGTGGCGGGTACGGGAACCTCCACACCAGCTAGCGACCCGCTATCTACTGGCGGTTTCCGTTTCCCTGCTGCCGCTCCTTAAGCTGTGGGCAGTCTCGCTTCATGTGTCCCGGCTTTTTGCAGTAGTGACAGTTCCCCCTAAAT